ATTTCAAAATATTCAAACTATTCAAAAAAATTTAGCCAATACAAAAATATTTTGAATATTTGAATTTTTTGAATTTCAAAATGTTCAAAATATTCAAAATATTCAAAATATTCAAAATATTCAAAATATAATGAACTTCTCCCAAAAGTCTCTCTGAACCTCTTTTTTGGTGATTTCAATATTTTTAAAATATTTTGAATATTTTGAATTTTTTGAATTTCAAAATATTCAAAATATTCAAAAAATTTAGCCAATACAAAAATATTTTGAATATTTTGAATTTTTTGAATTTCAAAATATTCAAAATATTCAAAAAATTTAGCCAATACAAAAATATTTTGAATATTTTGAATTTTTTGAATTTCAAAATATTCAAAATATTCAAAAAAATTAGCCAATACAAAAATATTTTGAATTTTTTGAATTTCAAAATTTTCAAAATATTGTCACACAAATTAGCCAATACCAAATATTTTGATGATTTAGAATGTTTTTTGAATTTCAAAATATTCAAAAATATAATGACCTTCTCCCAAAGTCCTCTCTGAACCTCTTTTGGCCGTCTGGGGAGATTGGCTTTCATTCAATTTGAACAGGTAACTCAAATAGTCAAAAACGGTCATAGTACATGAAGGGCCATCGTCATAGCCATATATATACATATATATATATATACATACATATATAATTACACATGTTCTTGTCTATGTCCTTTTTGTATTTTTACTTGTGGATTGCCTCGCCCCTTTTCGAATGGAAGAGTGAAGACAGAGCACCTGGCACAGCACCGGTGCTCTTCAGAGGGGTCCAGGGGAACCGGTGTCTAAAAAAAAAACCAGAGGACATCACTATTTGGGGATACTCCGCAAGAAAAAAAACAAACCCGGGTTGGAAAATTCAGAACCCAAATAGTTCACAGGAAACTGTGAACATTGTCAAGTGAATGAAGCAACATCTGCGCAACATAAGCAAGAGAACCGGATGATGAAGGGAAACTTCTGGCGTTCACCAGCCCCTTGTACTTAAATCAACCCCTTGACACATATGCTGGTCTGTGGAGAAGATGGCTCCAGCATTTCTGAAGCTGCAAATCACGACCCACAGCTTGCAATTGCTGGAAAAATTGAATTTCCATGCAGGAAAGCCTTTTGCTTCTCTCTAAGGTAGACATTCATCATCCATTCATCCAAGTTTCTTTCACCAGCATCTGGAGATTTCTTAAGTCATGGGGGATCCCCAGTCGTCACCATAGTTGTTTCAATACTAAGTCACGGTCATCCATTTTCCTTGGATAACTGGGGATACCCCCATGACTTATCATGACTTATCATTACTTATCATGACTTATCATGGCTTATCATGGCTTGTCATGACTTATCATGACTTGTCATGACTTAGGACACCACCATTTTCCAATCACCGCCATGTTGGCTGTAGCGCCACGGCATCCCGTTTCGCTGCAGTTCATCAGTGGCGCTGTCGAGGTCTTCAATGTGACCAGCTGGTGTCGGGTCTACGAGTTGAAGCAACGGGTGAAGGATGCATGGAGCTGGGCTGATCAGTTGGAAAAGGACCCGACTACGGTGATTTTCATGGCAAATGGTCAGGAACTGAAGCTTGGTGGCCGAAAAAATGTCTACCTTTTTTGGTTCGCAAGATATGAGTTGTTTGTTTCTAGTTTTTTTTTCCCGGACGAAAGTGCATATTCAAAACAACATGACCAGAATATCTTTACACTTTTATTCGTTTGAGTTTCTCTAAATTTAGTTGTTCCACATCTTCATGACTCACCAGGAAGGATGAGGAGAAGATCCTGGAACGGAGCCTTGAGACAATGGACTCCAACATTTCGGTGTATTTCAGCCTCCACCAGGCAGAATGTGGGAGTCACTCAGAGGCCGCTGAGCTGGGCTTGCAGCTAGAGTCCATCCAAGTGCTGCGAATTCCTCAGCTGACGGCCATTGAGAGTAAGGCCTTTGCTGGTAGCGGCTGTGCGGTGGTGAAGCTGGTGATACCTGACTCGGTGAAGATCATTGGTCCAAACGCCTTCAGAAATTGTGCCTTGAGCGAGCCACATTGGAGGTTCAAACAATGACCCACTTGGATGATGTCAGTTTTGGGGCGCCCAAAGACGGTTTGGATAGAGTTGTTGAACACGTTTGACCTCTCCACCCTAGCGAATTCCCGATATATTAAATTGGAGTTTCGGACATGTTCCAGGCCCTGTCTACCAGGTGACCGCTTAGAAGCTGTGAAGTTGCCAGAGTCCCTGATGGAAATCGGTTCGGGTGCCTTTAGAGGCTGCAAGTCGCTGAAAAGGATTGTGATCCCAGAGTCCGTCACAGTCATTGAAGCCGAAACTTTCTATGGTTGTGAAGCCTTGAGGGAGGTGGGGTGGGTTCAAAAAAAAGGAGAGACCCATTTACCAAATGTTGGAAAAAAGGGAAACGGATGTTCATCTTGATGATCCTTAAAATGGGAAGTGGAATGTTGGCACAGGTGATCTTGCCGCAATTTTGCCAAAGCATCGGGAGATTTGCCTTTGAAGATTGCAAGCAGTTGGTTGGGATCGACATCCCTGACACGGTGACCTTCATTGGACCGGCGGCGTTTCGAGCTTGTCCTTTGAGGAGCCTCAAGATCCCCAAGAATGTGACGGAAATTGAGTGCTGCCTGTGTCAAGATTGCTGTTCATTGGAAAGAGTGGATTTCCCGGAGACCTTAACTGCGATTGGAGCTGCATCTTACATTTGCCAAGGTGATTTTATTTTGTTCCAGCTTTTTAAGTTCCACTTGTAAATCCACATTTTGGAGATTTGATATCTATTGGCAATATTTTCCACATTTTGGATATCTGTGGGGAAGATGTTTCATCTTTTTGCCTCAAATTGCAGGCATCTTTTGAGGATTGTTCATCCCTAAAACGCGTGCAGATTCCTTCCTGGGTGACTCGAATTGATGACTGCGCCTTCGAAGGCACTGCTATCGAAAGTGTCTTTGTGCCCCGCTGGGCTGTCCTAGATCATCCCTTTCCAGCTAAGACCGGCATTTTCATCAGCCAGGCGGAAAAAGCTTGGTTAGGGTAGAGTTCATCGGCAATGATTACTGTATGGATGCCTGCTGTTTTCAGTGAGGTTTTTTTCACCTCCTGAAGGGCGGTTTTTTCCTCACTGGCAGCAGTTCTGAAAAACCATCAGGTCTGGATGTCATGTCCACAAAGCCCGCCCTGAGAAGTTGGAGTTGAGCACCCGCGAGGAAAATCCTGTTGTTTCCTCAGGGATTCCAGGCTACGCCGGCTACGTGAAAGTGCCTGCCAACAATTGGCAGCTGAGTAGTCAGCGCTACACATCAGTTCTTTTATCTACGATAGGTGATGTTAATTATGTATAATATTGTATAATTATGTTGGGTGATCTGTTTTTGGAGAACCGTGCAATATCTCAATCCTTTCTTTCACCATCAAAAAACAGGTCGGCTTGGAGATTTGGGATTAACAACTGGGATGATCATCAACTTTCACTGAATCCAAACCGCAAACCAAGGGTTCAGCATTGTCACATTTGGGGTCCTGTGTGGAGTGTCTTCCTGTGGGCCATTTTTCACATGGCTTTTTCGGGGATTTCCCGTGGCAGGCCCACCTACACCTCCAACCATCTCGGAGACGTCTTTGTCGTGCAGGAACTCAACAGAGCACCGGGAAAGAGATCCATGGGGATTTCACCCGCCAAAATGGGGGGTTGAAGCCTCAAAAAACCGAGAGGGGCGCGCAACACTTGAAATATGTACAACGAAAAGATGGTAACCCGCTCAATTTCCCCGGTACCCCATCTTTTTGTTCAACCATATTTGGGATGAGGGACAAATACTTTTGGGATGGGTTGAAAGCAACAACCAGGGAGAAAATCCGGGCATTTTGAGTTTTTTCGGACATTTTTGGACCAGAGAATTTGATCATTAATTGTTGAATGTTCGCAAGACCCACTGTGAGAGAAACAGTTTCAAAAACCGACAAAACATTCTTACATTGTTTTGAAAATTGTTTGAAATTGTTGGAAAATTGTTTGAAAATTGTTTTTTTTTTTTTTAAACAATTTTATGAAAATTGTTTGAACATTGTTTTTTATCAAAAAGATATTTCTAAACAATTTTATGAAAATTGTTTTAACATTGTTTTTATTCAAAATATGTTCAGAACAATTTTACGAAAATTGTTTAAACATTGTTTTTTGTCAAAAAATCTTTGAAAACAATTTTATGAAAATTGTTTAAACATTATTTTTATCAAAAAGATCTTTGAAACAATTTCATGAACATTGTTTAAACATTGTTTTTACCAAAGATCTTTGAAAGCAATCTTTATGAACAATGTGTGAACATTGTTTCTTGAATACACACTATTTTAGAACAAGCGTATGAGCATTGGTTTCTTGTCCTTCATCACAATACAGTACATTTGTTTGATGTGTTTTTTTGTAATCAAAAAATGTTCAACAGTTTCACGTTGTTGTTCTTATATTATATCATTCACCATTTCGCATCGTTGTGATCTACTATCAGAGCTGGTTTTTGCAATTGCATCTGCACCATGAGCTTTGCAAGTTTCATTGAAGCTGTATTTGATGGATTTTTTCAAATCATGTTGACGGTCTTGGACCTGGTTGTGCGTTGTGACATGATCGTGTTGCCGCGCTGGTGTTGTCACCTGGTCTTGATCTCCTAGATGCAGTTTTGGGCTCAAGATTTTCAAGTGTCTAAATTGCTGTCGCCATCATGTCGACTCGCTACTGTTACCTCTGTCTGATGGACGTCTTGTTTACTCCGTGGCTCGATGACCCTGATGTGGCACCAACAAAGGCACTTGCAAAAGATTGTCGTTGTGATTGGGAGCATTCGATTCATGTCCCGCTCTCTCCCCCAAGCAGCCCATCCTTGCCCAAGGCGAACCGTCGCAAAAAAAAGCTTGAGAAAAAGGAGAAGAGCTCAGACAAGCAGTGAAGGCCATGGATGATCAACATTTAGTTGAGATTGCCAGGCAATATGGGGGCAACCTGCCAGCTCCAGAGGCAGCTGGCCTCAGGCCCGGTTTTGGCGTGCAGCCAGTTCCTGACGACCAGGCTGGCCCCAGGCCGGGTTTGCCTCTGCGCCGTAGAAGCAAAGGCGCTTTGCTACGATTGCTCGGAACGAAGCAAAACTGTCAGACCTTGCGATCCGCAGCATTCCGAAAGCAAGCTGCCCACGCCAATAGCACTGGCCGAAATCGCACCAAAGATTTTGTTATACCAGATTCTTCAAGTGCAAAAAGGCAGGCCCCAAGAGGAAAAGGCAAGTGGAAGCAATGGACCCCAGATGCGGTTCTCAGAGCGGCTTTTGCCAAAGAGAATATGGTGATACGACATGTCGCCGAACAAGTGGATGGAGGCAGCGCCAGTCATGCCGCCGATTGCAAGTTTTTTGCCTCTGAATTGATCATGCGGGGACAAAGGGATGGCTTGTCCAAATTCCTCGAGGAGGCGCTGAAAGATGTTGGGATGTTTGATTTTGCGCTGACCAACATGATCTTTGATGAGACGGAGCTGGAAATAAATCTGAAGTCCTTTGGACTCGGGTCCTGGTCGATCCTTGCTTCTCATGCTCAGATGACTTTCTGTGTCAATGACCAGACGCATGATTTCGATTTTATCCGCGCACCTGCGGCCCTTCCCAACAAACAGGCAACCACTATGTGGCCCGCACTCTGCGCAGGCGAGGGGGGCCTCTGGCCGGGTTTGTCCGCAGTGGCAGCCAGGGTCAGGGCGGTGCTGGTTACCTGCGACGCGGCTCCAGCGAACATCAAGCTCCTCTCGCACCTGCAGAGTGTCCTGGACCAAAGGACGTTGCTTCTCCCGCTCTTGTGTCTCCAACACAGAACGGGGAATGTCATCGAGCGAGTCACTAAGCTGTTGGGCGTGTTGACCGGAAGTTTTTCTGTGGCCAAGACATTACGTTCCGGCAGCGTTGTGAAAAGGCTAGCTGGTCACGTTCGAGACGTGCTGGCAGAGAATCTTCAGGTCTTTGACCGGGTTCCTCCAGGCGTTGTTGAAGAGTGGGCCGCTGGGCAAGCGTGTGCCAAAGCTATCTTTAAGCTTGTGCTGCAAGGGCGCGACGACGACAAAGCCAGCGGCGCCTGCCAAAGATTTTTGGATTTCTTCGCAAGCCCTTGGACAGGACCGACTGCTGGGGAGGGCTCGGGCCAGTGACTTTGGGGAATTAACGGACGCTGGAGCAGTTGTTGCGTTTTTTTTAGTGCTGCGGTTTCAAACCAGGTTTGATAGGTGGTAGAAGATGGTAGAAGCGTCAAAGAATAGATGATGCATATGATTATATAAATATAATATAATATATATATATGGTATTAATGTTCTATTCATGTTATGTTTTTCTGTACCATATTTGACCTGACGTATGCAGAGAGCAGTGTGCAGCGTGTTTAAATGTTGCAAAGTTGATGTGCTTTTGGAGCAGCCTTTTTTGCTTGCTCAAATTTCCCTCGCGGTCGAGCCAGCTTCCACGACTCTGTGTCTCATGGTGGTCAAGGTGGTGGAGAAGGTAGGGAGGCCTACAGAAACCGACGTCGTGGCGAATTATGGTCTGTCTGCCATTTTCCACCCAGGTGACTTGCGATGTCAGACTGCGGCTGGCCTCTGGCCGAGTTCTGATCTCCGCGAGAACCCTTTGAGCCTGACTACCGCCTTGAACAAGTCCAAGGGCATCCTCGTGGCTGACACCTATGGTGGCGTTGAAGCCTATCGATGGGCACGAGATGCCTACAATGCCAGGCCATCTGTTTGTTGTTAAACACTAATGGTTAAGTTAGTCTCCAGTTAATGTTTTGTTTTGTGTACCTTGTCCTTTTTTGTTTTTGAATTGAGCAGTTCCCAATCAGGCACCCGATGCATGTGATGGTCGATATGTCGGCCTCCGTGCCTGGTTGCAATGGCAGGCTTTGGCTTGGAGGTGAGCAGGCCAGCACAGACGTAGGTCTGCTCGAGAAAAACGGCATTTCTGTCGTGTTGCCAGCTTCGCGCACTCCTATCCCGGCTGAGAGCCTCAACCACGTGGTCCTTGACTACATTGACGGGACGGCCTTAGCGAATGAGGACTACGACTTGTCCAAGTTCCTTAAGGTCGCTGACCAGGTTGTGGACTTGCTGAAGAAAGGCCACGGGGTCTTAAGTTCATGCAGAAACGGAGCTCATCGCAGCGCGACAGAGACGTGCGTTCTGATCATGCGACTCACTGGGTGGCCGTATGAGCAAGCAGAAAATTACATCTGCACTCTTCGAAACTGCGTGGATCTAAATTCTGTAGCGCCTCCGTCTGCTCACAGGAGGCATCCGGTTCGTCCGTCCGAGTTCCTCAAGCAGCACCAGGAGACGATCCTGGATGGACACTACGGCCTTGCAGTGAATGACATTGTCACGCCTGTGGCATACCGCAAGAAAATGCTGGACCTGGGTTTCGAATCCATTTCGACCAGGCCTAAGGCCAAGCCTGCCAAGGCTATCAGACGAGATTCTGGTTACTCGTCTTTTGAGCTTCTGACGGATCCGGCCAGTGCCAGTGGCCAGGAAACAGCCAAGGAGGTTGAGTTGGTTGCAGAGGATGTCCTAGGTGGAACCACCTTGAGTTCAGAAGGTGGGTCTTTGACCTCGTCTTCTGTGGCCTCTGGCCAGGTCCCTGAGCCAAAGGATCCACCCGCGCAGTCCCATTCACCTGGCAAAAGAAAGGAGTCTGAGGCAGAGGACGACTTTGCCGAGTTTGAAGTGGTTGATGATGATTTGGATACGAAAGAGAAGCGAGCGGCAAAGTTGACTTCATTGTGTGACGACCTGCAGACCCTCAATGCCTCGATGCTGAAGCTCCTGCACCCCAAAGAGACCTCCAGGCCACAGCAAAAGGCTATGCCAAAGCCGCCTTCGGAAGCGAAGAAGGATGAGGTGAAAGCCGAGAACAAGATGGACAAGATGGATGTCGACGAGGGTGCGGCTTCCCCGGCCAAGGTTGTGGCTGCATCCAGTTTCTAGGTTGTAGTTTATTCATTATTTTTTGTTTTTTGGGGTTTCAACTGATAGCTGGGTCTTAAACGAGTAATTAGCAAGAATATAATATATCATAATTATAGTCATATAGTCATCAATTGTTTTGTGTTACTATATGGGAACATTCTTGTAAGTTGTAAGCTTTTAGGCTTATAGGCTAAAGCGTATAGGTCCAAATTGTTGTATAATAGTTGAAAATGTGCAGAGTTTTTAAAATTCACTGGAATGTCTTGCTATTTTTGTGAGGCACTGAGGAGCCCTTTGAGCCAGATTACGACCCAGACGACCCCGAGCCAGAAGAACCAGCCCCCTCACCTCTGAAACCGGATGAAAGTGAGCAATCCGAAGAAGTGATGAAGCGGGTCTTGCGCTTGCTCGAAGAACAGCGCTTGCATAGCCACGCCTTTTTGGCGAAGTCCTCGAGGCAGGATTCATTCAGCGAGAATCAGGAAAGGATCTTTGCGGCGCTCATGGGTCCTACGCCTCTGGCGGTGTTGCCAATGCTTGATGATATGGCTGCCAGCCAGGCCCTGCTGCTCAGGGACAAGAATGGCATGAGCCTCTTGCACTTCTCTGCGCGCCTTGGCTGCTGGGAGGTCATGGACCGCATGTTGCAGATTAATCCTCAGCTCTGTGACCAGATGACGTCGCCAGTTGGTCGTCCTGCACACTGGTCTCCCCTGATGATCTTGATCGATGCGGGGCAGGCGCGGGATCCACAGACCTTCAGGTACATGCTGGCGCGTTTGCTACAGGAGACCAGTTTGACGACCATCGAGGCCAGGGGTGCCAATGGGACTTCTGCCTTGCACATGGCGACGAGCAAAGGCATGTTCAACGCCACCAAGCAGATCCTGTACGCTGTGTACAACAAAAACAGGGCAGACTTGGCGGCCTTCGGCCTGGTTACTTCCATGCTGAACACGCCAAATGGTCGCGGTGCTGGCTGCGTTTCTGGGTTAAGGTTATTAATTGGGTTATATTGTTTTAGTTTTGGTTGTGTTGTTTCTTTTTTTGACGGTGTCGATGCAGCAGTTTGAAATTTGCAGGTTGATCTGGCACTGCGGTGCAACGTGGATTTGGCCATGTACCTGCAGAACCAGTGGAACGCACGTCCTCTTCTCCCGCCACGTGCGGGGTATCGCAGCCGGGATTCCAACACACAGTGGTTGGAGAAGAACCCCTGGTACAGCAGGGACAGGGATTTGTGAGCAGGCCTCTGGCCAGGTTGGATATGCGGGGAACGGTCTCACAGCTTTCTCAGACCATAGACGCCTTTGCCCCGTAGGCCTGTTTTGCGGGCAGCACAAGCAAATCAATATTAGGTCATATATGAGTATTATTGGCGAATTGTCGCATTGTTTTGCACATTTTAAATCAGTAGAGCATGTGTATCTGAAACTTGTGTTGTGCAGCCTTGTGGCCTGGTTTTGCAGAGCGTCCTGCGTCCAGCCGACTTCCTCTGGCAAATTGCCAGATCTTCCGCTTGCGAGCGTGAAAAAAAAGCATGAGTGAGAATGCAGAGGTTTTTTTCAGTTGTGTTTTTTTAAAGGTAGAAAGTTCAACAACTGCAGTTTTCAGTTTCATCAAAGAATGGTGCTGGTTGCTTCTTTGTTTCCCTGTCAGGACCGCCTTGCCACATCTGCTCCGGGTGCTGCGCTAGCAGACTGGAGTCCGTGGATCGAGCGGCGGCCCTTTTTCAAGAAGTTTTTCTACATGCGCTGACAATCCCGGCGTTGAATAAGTGGACGACCGTAGCGCCGTCTATGACCTTGGTCGCAGCGATGCAGCAGTGCTACGACGTCGTCCCGCAGGCCTTTGGTCGGTGTTTTGCACGCGGCCAAGCAGAAGAGTCCAGCGACGACTCTGGGGGTGAAGACGCTGCATTGGGGGTTCCCAGAGACCAGACAAAACAATGGAGGAAGCTAGCTAGAAAGAGGCAACAGAAGGCCGCCTTCTTTTTGCAGGATCAAGAGTCCCGTTTCTTGACAATGCTCTGGGGCATTGTGACGTTCTGCGTCATGACCGTTCACTACTCCTTGTTCAAGCGGGGAACTTGGCTCACAGAGCGCGTTGAAGATGAGACAGACGCAAACCTTTCATTTTTTTTAGCAACCCAGCAGCCAGTCCAGCTGCCCGAGCCAGTTCTGAGATCGCTTCGCTGTTGGACTCTGTCCAGGTTGACGCCTGGATTCCTTTGATTGGTTTGTATGGGCCTCTGCTCTCGTGGCCGCAGAGGAGGTTGCGAAGCACCAGGCGCTGCTTGCTTACGGAGGTTGGCCAGCTGTACAGGAAGTTGCTTGAACCATGGAAACGTTACCCCTGGAAGCTCGTGGAATTGCCACTGATGGAAGAGGCCATGAGGTTTCAAGCTGCATAAGATTTCTTTCGGGTCCGTGACTGCTGCCTGGATGGCTTCAGTGCAAAGCTCAAGACAGTGGTGGAGGATCCTCGTGGCCTGGTGGCTGCCAAAACTTTGAAGTTTTTAGCCTCTGTCTTTGACCGGTTGGTGCCAACGTCCACCTGCATTGAGCGGGCTTTTGCTAGACTAAGCAGATGGTGTGACCGTAAGGGGCCGAAACCTCAACTGTCCACGCTTGCCGCAAAAAATGCTGTGTATCATTTTCGACACCTGACAGATCACTGGCGGGCCAAAGCTCGAAAGCTTGGTGTTATCCGCAAAGGCAAGAGTCACCGATGTAGGCCTGACTGGGCCCATGGTGTACGCAAAGGACGGTGTCGCAATGGGTTGCACATGTTTGCCAGAGAAAATGGTTTGAATCCTTCCGATGATTTGGCTCGTCAGTGGCGCTTGCAGCCTCGTGCAGAGAGGAGGCGCTTTGCCGCGCTGGCTAGAGCTGCTAACTTGCAGGCAAGAACTTTGCAGAGGTGCGACGCAAGGGCTGCCCAAGAGTCTGCTGCCCTTACTGGCAGCTTTTGGAATATGAGTGCAAGCACTGGCTTCCCAATGGCCAAATCGATCGTTGCAGGACATCTGCATTCTCTGAAAGATTATGCCAGAAATTTCCGCGTTTCCACTGATTCGCTGCTTCCTGAGAGCCCAAATAGTTTTGCTGGCGCACCAGCAGTGCCCTTTTCATTGTGGGCCTCGTGCCAGGTTGGAGCTTGCCCTCATGAACTGACGGCCCCCCAGCAAGAATGCTTCTGGTCTTTGCATGAAATGTTGGTGCTAGTGATTGGCAGCCAAAGCCCGGATCCCACGGTTGCATCAAAGGAGCCGCTTGTTCTGGAATTTTGTTCTCAGAGAGCTGCGGCGTCCCGCCAAGTTGTTGTTGCTTACAACACGCGGAAGAAACCCATCGATGCAGCGCTCATCGCTCTGCGTCCGCTCCCTCCATCTGAAGTTCCGCATCAGTTTCTTCAAATTTTGGCATGCGAGACAGGCGTAGATGGACAATTTCCTTTGGTCGGGGACGTGCCAATGTGTGTCGAGCTGGCAAGCCAAGCGACTGATTGGGAGTTGTTTGTTCTCTCTGTTGGTCCTATCACAGACCTTCATCTCTTCCATATTGTAGCTGCTAAGCGTGTAGATTTCGTAGCCCTGATGCTTGAAGTTGGAAGCGCCAGAGAGACCAAAAAGGCTTTAGATGCTTTGAAAAAAATGGAGAAGAAAAAAATGGCTGCAAGCCAATCCAGCAGCCATAGGGCAGGTGGAGAGCGGCAGGGACCGAGCAAAGGACGTGGCAAGGGCAAAGCTGCCAAAGGCGCAATGGAGAGAGCAAACAGACCAGACACGCATGGAGATCGTGACGACGCGCTTGATGACGGAGGCTCTTCGCAGTCGGACGAGGACTCTGTTGCTGATGTAGACGATGCTGAGGTTGACTTGTCGCTTGCCCCTCCTCCTTCCTGCCCGCCTCTGGCGTCGGTTGCTCCACGACGCCGCAACGTGAGACGCGGGCATGTTTGGGGCTCCAGCCCAGCATTTCAAATCGCTCCCATCCATGCAGCAGGCAGTGCGGAGCCCACAGGATTTGGTGCGATTTGCGGCATGCACCATGACCCCGCCAACCCAACGCTGCAGTGCAAAAAAGCCATGTCTTGCGGAGGCCTGACCCCTGAGGAGTGCAAGCTTCGTTTGAAGCGCTGGCTTGTCGCCGGGTTGGATTCCGGCAGGTGGGGCGCCAACAAGCGAGAGAGCCATGTTAGCATGGGCGGCGTTCAGCTGTCCCATTTCGCTGAAGGCCTGAGTTTGGAAGACTTAGACAGAGCGGTGAGCCATCAGGAATAAAAAGGTTGCTTTTGTCAGCCTGCCTCAGCAGCCATCAGCGTGCCCACAATCAATCACACGACATATGATATATTTTATATAATATATATATAATATATGTTCGCGCTTCAATTTCTACACAGCAAATGTTTGTAACAAAAATGGTAACGATAAATAAATAGACTAGATAAATACTTAAGAAATAAATAAATAAATTATATATTTTGATAATATTGTAATGTTTTTGTCAAAACAATCGTAGAATGTTTTGTTTTTATTTTCCGTACACAAATGTAGTTTTCCGTACACAAAACCTACTTTTCCGTACCCAAAATGTACTTTTCCGTACACAAAAACCCGTCAAAACATTTTCAAAAATAATTATAAATATATATAAATATATATAAAATATTATAAAATCATTTCTCTTTTTTTACAAATTATGTTCCAAATGTTTACAAATATATCCCAAATATTGTTCTAATTCTCTTAACATGTTTGTATTTATGTCACTGCTTTTGTGAGCGCGTCAAGATTGTTTCTTTGCTTGTCTCGCCTCTGGCGTTGTTCACACCGCGCTCCTTGTAGCCCTGTAGGCCCAAATAATTGACGTGAAATAATCTTTGGGGATTTTCTCGCCATGTCTCCTGACGCGGAGTCAGTGTCTTCTTCTTCGTCTTCCAGCTCAGATGAATCCGGCGCTCCTCCACCTCCGCCTTCGTCTGTGGGTTCGTCGGGTGGCGCTTTGAGGGTGTCCTATACTTCCAGAAAGTCTCGTCACTGCACCCTGTGCAATGCCAAGTCCACTGACCAGTCACCTCTGGATTATTCGGAGGATATTTTTCCAGAAGTGCAGGGAAGAATCCCGTGGAGATCTTACGAGAAGGTCAAAATGGATGACGGAGAGCAAGTTCGTGTGCCCTCTGGAAAGCTTGGCTTGATTTGCTTCAACGTCTACAGAGCCCTCGGTTTCTTTGCCGCATGCTTATCACCTCGCCTCTGGCGTTGTTTCCAGCTTTTCACATTCAGACAGGTTTCCATGGATGGAGGCAGCTTTTGTTTCGTACAGTGTAGTAATTTGTTACTGAAACTGTAGCCGTAAATGTTTTCTTCATTGCAGCTAAGGTTTGCAGGCCACGTACAAGAAAGTTGAAGACTACTTCAACTGGGTCTCCGTGAGAAAAAATCAGGCCGAGCACGTTTCGTTCCTAAATGCAAGAAAGGGTTGGATCAAGCAGCACAATGAAGGAGGACCCGACTGCAAGAGATTGCAGAGCAAGAAGTCCCTTCTTGAAGCCAAGAAGACCCTCAACGTTGTGCGCAACGTGGGCGGTCGGTTTATCGCTCCCAAGAAGAAGTTTGTGGATAAGGACAATTGGAATGAAAAAGAGCACGGAGTCTTGGACCCAAACAAGGTCGTGACCGAACATATTTTCGGCAAAGAAATTCAGGGCTGCTGGATCTTGAAAGGGAAGAAAGGTGAATACGATTTTGAAGAGTACCAAGACACCGCTCTGCAAGAAAAAGAGCAATTGCACAATTCAGCAGATGCTCCCTTTTCTGAAGAAGCTTTGGGCCGCAAACGCAAAGCCATGATGGACGAGTTCGTGGAAAGCTCCACTACGAGAGACAAGGCCAGTGTGGAAGGCCAAGAATTGCCCATGCAAGGTTTGCTTGCAGCCATCCAAATGGGACATGATCCATCTTCTGGTTCCACTGGTGAGGCGGTTTCCACCGTTTCCGCCTCCGGCGAGGTTCAAAGCCATGAAGCAGAAGAGGAGTCCACCAGCGACTGCGCGTCAGAAGAGGAAGAGGCCCGCCCAAGCCTTTCGTTCGCCCCCCGACCGCCGAAGGCCAAAGCCCATGGCAAGCCTGCGGCGAAGCCTCAGGCTAAAGGAAGCACGCAGCCGTCGAAAGCTCCAAGTTCTTCTGTCGTGCCTGTCCCTGCACCCAGTGCGCCAGCCGCCAAGAAGACCACCAAGACAGAGCCTGCTCCCAGCAAAGTTCCCAGCAAAGGCACAAAAGCTTTGCAACAAAGCGGCAGCGACCAAAGCTTAGAGAGCGCAGCGACGCTGCTTGCAGACGGTCGGGCCCAGAGGGCCTTGAAGAATTTGCAGGAGAGTGTTGCCAAATGGAAGTCCCAGCTGGCAGACATTCGGGTCGACGATGCGCCTCCTGCGCCTGATGCCCAGGCTCAGACCAAATTTAAGCAAGCGTGCATAGACAGAGCCAATGTTGCCAAGGCCTTGGCCCGGCAAGCCCGAGACTATGGCAAGCGCATGGACAAGAGTTCCAACAAGGACAATTTCTTAGGGGAGCTCGAGGAACTGCAAAAGGTGGAGTTTGCTGCTGTGGCTGTCCAGGCCTTGTTTCAGATAGCTGGTGCGCAGAATTCAGCTCCAACTGCTGTTGTCAAAGCCTTTGAGGATGCCAGCGAGCATGTTGATCTCTTAGGCTGCAACGCTCTCGGAGCAGGTTTCCAGCTCAAGTACGCTTTTGCAAAGGCGGGCTCGCATTGTTTGTACCAGGAGTACGAAAAGTATTGCGCCGCCTTCTTGGGGTCTTCTGAGTTGATGAAGGGCCTTGCCGAGAACATTGGCCAAGATAGTCTGCAGAACCACGTCATGGCAGAAATGGAAGGCCGCCTCACTTTGGCTTTGAGGACCATTAAGCCAACCGACGTCCAAGCTGTTGTCAATGGTCTTGAGGAGCCCTCCAATCTTCAAGAGTGCGCTGATCTGTGCAAAGCGGTCATGGACGTCGGTCAGAAACATGGCTCTGACTTTTTGGCTTCTGGCCTTGGCAAAGCTTGCACGATTGCCTTTGGCATAGTTAGTTCTGCAGATATTGAAGTAACCAATGACGCCCTCAAAGAGATTCAGTCATTCAGGGAGGGCGACGCAAAGGATGAAAAGCCAGGAGCTATTATGGTTTATTTCCTGGAGCACACAGTTGGTAAATCCTTAGTGGATTTGGCCACTGGCCGGGTTGGAGCTGGGGAGACCGAAGCAGTTGCCACTGAACATCTCAAGACCTTGCAAGGAGAAGTGTCCAAATTGCAATCAGTGTGCTACGCAGGCTCAGTTGCCGGTGTCCAACTCATTTCTGCCGATTTGGAACCAGTAGACAAGCTTATTGGTGATTGCCAGAAAAGCATCGCATGTCTGAAGAGCGGCAAGGACACCAAAGGCAAGAATGCAAAACATGAGAAGGCAGACGCAGCAGAGAGCAAACAACGACATCGAGCGCATGATCGCCTGGTGGAAGCTTTGAATGAATACAAGGCCTCTTTCGCAGAGCGGGCGCGGGAACTTTTGCTGCAGGAGTTGAAAGCAAACCTTTCTGAGCAGTTGCTCCTTGGACTGGAAAACAGCTCTACGTTTTGAGTTTGTGCTTTGAACTGCCCGGGACACAAGTGACTCAAGTCTCTTTGTCATAGATATATAGCATCATATAGACATATACTAAGAGGTCATGCACGGTCTGTGGGGTATTTTCTTTCCCTGCGAAGGCAGACATGAAGTCGTAGTCCGCCTTCAGCGAACTATTCAAAGTCCCATGGTATTCCGAAAACTAATGTAATATTGTAAATCACATCATATCACTAAGTATATCACAAGCCTATTATCAGAATGCAAAAGCCTTTGGCATAGTTGTAATCTTAACCTTTCACAGACCCCGGTATTATATGAGTAGAAGGGCGTTCTTTTTCTCAACGTGTGACTTTGAGGCGTCATCTCTGCAATGCTTTGGACAGTGACTGCATGGTCACAGAAGAAGGCACTGGACAAAAAGCGCAGCTGATCGATTTGGAAGAGACCTGGCCATGCTTGAAGCACACAGCCGTCATTGCCCATTCGTTTTGGGCTACTTCGACGGCCTCTGGCCAAGTTAGCAAGGTGCTGCAGGATTACGAAAGCTTGTCAGTTCAGTTGTGTTCCATGGCCAAGTTTGTCTTTTTCCAAAGCCCGAAGTTCAAGGGAAATGCAAAGCAGCAAGTGGATGTTAGCGCTACGGATCTGAAAAGCTGGGTGGAAAAGCTTCCAGAAAAGTTGCTTGAATGGGTTGGCGCTGATTTGACCACCTCTATGAGAGTCACATTCTTGTCTGTTTGTGAGGAACACCAGCGCTCATTGTTTTCAGCAGGATTAGATGCCGTCGCTGACGTGGTTAAGAAATGCGTTGGTGGACCGCTGCCTGCGTGTGATAATCTCCTGCAGCAGCAGCTGCTGATGAAAATTCCGAAAGCGCATAGCCTCAAGCCTGTCGTCACAGCGTTTCTCAAGGCGTTTTCCCTTTTTCTGTCAAGTTATGGTACGCGAGGGGTTTTTGTGTCACAGAAATGAAATGGACATCGGGTCAAGTTTTCAGGTCAGGCTGTGCTTTCAAGCTAATTCACCAGCAGCCTGTATTGTCTGCAGTGTGCAGTAAATAACTTTTTGATAACTTATACACAGATAACACTTAACTTACACTTATATATATATATATATGTGTGTGTGTGTCATGTGTGATGTTTGGTTGCAACGCGTAGTCTTTTTTCAGCATGTCCTTTGCTCCTCTTTTTCCCCAGAAGAGCGTGTTTGCAGGTTGTGGGCCATGAAGGAGGCACCGATGACAAGCACAAGGAGGTGGTGGACCTGCATTCAACAGGCAATCTTCTTTGTGATGCTTTCGGTTTGCAACCGAATGAGGCGGATTTTGAGAAGAGCTGCTTGAAGGATGCGGTTCCTTGGCTGGAGGGTGTTGCTAAAAAGCTTGCAAGATATTTTCTTCAGAAGTTCGAAGACGCGACCGCCAAGTTGAACGCCGGTGTGAAGAAGGTGATTGCAATCAAGATGCCGAGCTTGGACATGGAGGACGAGTACCGGAAGCAGGGCGTGAGAGTTGTGGGTACCCTTGCTCAGCTCACGGCTGCGGTAGAGGACGACATCAAGACTTTAAGGGATGTGCGACAAGCCCTGTCCAACCTGAAAGGCGTCAAGTTCGCTCCGCAAGGGAAACCTCCAGCTGTGGAAGAGATATGCGCTTTCCAAGCAAGGTTTCAGGATCCTTTTGCTCCGGCAACTTACGAGCTTGATGCTGGCAAGCATGCAAAAGAAGCATCCTTCCATGTGGCCGCAGTGGCTGCGTTGTGCTTGCTTCGGAGTGACGGCATGAAAAAGGCAGACAGTAAGACTACCAAGCAGGTCGCAGATGTTGCTGTTACTTTGCGGGGCAAACTGGAGCTCGTGGCAGAAGATTCTGCGGATCTCAAGACAGCCGGCAAGCGATTGCTCGAGGAGTGTGAGACGTACGGAAAAGTCTCGCCAAGGGCAGCGAAAGCCAAGGCGGCGACAGAGACTAGCCACAGCTCGGCATCCAAGAAGTCGCGAGTCGCTGAGGCACAGGATGCCGGCAAGAACGTCAACAAGGAGGAAGCGTCCAAGAATGCGACAGACACTCAGAGCACACCGCCGCCAGAGAAGGCAGCTGCAATGGATTCTATCCCAGTTGCAGAAGAAGGCGCTGAGAACCCGGAGAAGAAGCCGGAGGAGACAAAAGAAAGCAACATAGAAAAGGACAAAAAGGAGAAGGAAGAGAAAAAGGAGAAAAAGGAGAAACAGGAAAAAAAGGAGAAGAAGGACAAGAAGGACAAAAAGGAAAAGAAAGAAAAGAAGGAAAAGAAAGAAAAGAAAGAAAAGAAAGCAAAACGCGACAAGAAAGACAAAAAGGAAGGAGACAAGAGTGGCAAAAGGAAAGGGAACAAGGAAGAGAGCCTCCAAGCAGGAAAGGCAAAGACGGCAAACAAGAAGGGAAAACCGCTGGCGGTCAGCCCCAAGAAGAAGCCTTTCGCAGCGCGGCAGGCTCAGAAGATGAGCCCTTCGAGCAAGGCAGATGAAGGGCGTGGCCGTGGGCGTGGGAAGGGCCGCGGCCGAGGCCGAAGTCGAGCGACAGGCCAAGCAGAGGACGTGGAGTAGATGATGGCCTCTGGCTTGGTTTCCGTCTTCGACTCGCCAGCCCGAGCTCTTCAGCACCGCCGCCGATGATCCATGCTGAGAGTTTTGATCATAGCCTAGCTTAGACTTTTGAAACAACAGGGATGCGATTGAAACAGTTTGAGCTGCCGCGGCGCCGCGCGGGACCAGTTGGAATAAGCCCTCAGCTCTTAGATTTTAATCTAAGTTTGAATGAGTTTGGAAAACCAACTCGCTTCTATTTTCCTTTGTTGAATAGCTCATGAATGACTCATGACTCATGAACATGTGGCTCCACCAGCAGCCGGCTTTGTTTTGATTGCTTTCGCTGTGATGTATTCACCGAGAATCTCCACTTTGATACAGTAGGCAAAAACCGTAGCAATGGCAATGGCAATGGTGTATCAACTTTACATCATGACGTAATTGAATCCAAACTAGGCATGAATTGAGCCTTTCTGCTGTCGTACCTGCCATGGAGCAGCCGTTCGACTCACCCCAGTCTCCGCCTCACAAAAAGGCGCGCGCGCTCCGGAAGGAAAACTCAGCCGACGCATCATTGATCCTGTCGGCTTCCAGCCGGGTTACTGAGGCATTCAATGTTGTTGAAGGCACGCTGCTGCCAACTCTGGCCAGGGAGAACCTGCAAGGCTTCAAAGCCGTGTTGCCGCGAAATCATCCGTTGGCCCTAGGCTTTGTTGGTGGAGAGCAAACCCGAGCAATGGATGATTTGGAGTTGACCTGGGGGTCTTGTTGCTCTGGCAGCGAGGGCGTCCACTATGTAGTGGAAGCATGTGCCCAGGCCATGGAAGAGACAGGTTTGCCAGTCACTTTCCAGCACGCGTTCTCATGTGAAAGCAACAAGGCCAAACGATCCTGGATTGCTGATGTCTTGTGCAAGGGACAAGTGTTCAACTCTGACATGCACGAAACCTTTGCTACTCATGCAGAAGTTGGCTGCATCTTTGAAGATATCAAGGATATGGGCAGTGAAATGAGCAAGTGCAGCCTACATGGAAAGGAGTGCCCAGTTCCTTCGGTTGATTGCTTGTTTATAGGAACGAGCTGCAAGGACTTGTCCAGAGCCAACAGCTCCGTAGACAAAAGCAAACTGGTTTTGTCGCAGGAAAGCAGCAGAGGAGCCTCTGCGCAAACCTTTCGAGGCATGCTCAGTTATTGCCAGGGTCACAGACCGACGTTGGTTTTGTTTGAAAACGTGGACGCAATAGATGACAAAGTTTCCAGCAACACTGAAACAAACCTTTCACTGCTCATGAACGCCATGAAGGAACTGGGCTATGAGGGCCAAAAGATCATGACTGATGGCCAGGAATTTGGGCTTCCTTGCCGACGTCGAAGGCTCTATGTGATGTTCATCGACAAAGAAAGCAGCAAGGTAGACACACAAACCAAAACCTTGAGCCAGATCTTTTCAACTTTGCGGACTTTGGTGACTTCTTGCATGCGGTCGCCGCCTTGTTCCAAGGAGTGCTTGCTGAGCCCGTCAGAACCAGATCACTTGGAACTCTTGGAGAAAGCTTTGGGGGAGCACCAGAAAAGCGCGCAAAAGGCTGCCGAGAAGAAAGCACCTCCACAAACATGGCTTGACAGACACATGGCCTATGCAGATGATTTGGGTTATCGGTGGGGGTCTGCCGTGGATGAGGAGCTGGCAGGCAATAAATGGTACCAAACTTTGTCCAAGCGGGAGGCAGATGCCTTGGTTTTGTCTAGGGTTGCCGATCCAACGTGTGAATTCCGCAATGTGAGCCAGAGCGTGGGCCGTATCAACTCAGTTAGCCAGATTGACAACAAAGGAAAAGAGGTCGCGCCGACCATGTTGCCTGGACAATTGATGTGGGTTGAGTCCCAACAGCGCATACTCACAGGCTACGAGGCGTTGATCTACCAAGGTTTCCCTATCTTATTATATCTGGCAAAGGCTCGAAGTTTGCCACCCGCTTGCAATTCGCAAAGCTTTCTGACTGACATCGCGGGCAATGCGATGGCATTTCCTGTGGTTCTGGCCATCTTCCAAGCCACGTTGGCCTCTGTGCCCTGGTTGCCTGCGCATGACAGTGAAGATGAGGATGATAATGATGAGAATCAGGAGGAAGACGCGGCTGATGTTGAGACAGCTTTGGCGGCCTTGGCCCGTTTGCAGAGATAGGCCTCTGGCCGGGTTTTGCACCAAGGTCTCACCCCAAGATTTGCGGCCGCTATACAAGAAAAAGTTGGGAACTTGCTTGCGGGTGGCCCTGTGTGATGTTGGGGACTGGAAAGAAGTTGGGTGGATGGTTGAAAGTTTTTTGTTTTTTCAAGGCTGGGTTTTTGACGTGTGATTGCCGCGTGTTGACTGACGTGTGATTGCCGCGTGTTGACTAAATACTAAAGACTAAAGTCATATGATTCATATGATTGAGATCTGTAGACACAACAACATCCAACAATCCGTTGAAGTGCGAATAGTTCCTGTTGTTATTGTGGGCAGTTGTTAGAAAATGATCGCACTTTTTGAATGATAACAGAAAGTAAAACATGCAACAATACCAGATTTATGCATGCCTTGCGAATGAACAAAACAGCGTCACCACAGAAAGAACGCACATTTTTTGATGCGGAAAAATGAAAATTGTTTGTTTCAGATAACACAGCCGAACAATTTTCAAAACAAAACCAAATCTTCACATTCTAAACGATCATGAAAACATTGAAACATTTTTCTGAATATTTTTTGAAATTTTGAACAAGTTTAAAACATCTTAAAAACAATTTTCCGAAAAAAACAAACAATATCAAAACAATTTTAAAACAATTTTAAAACAATTTCATTTTATTTTCAAACAATTTTAAAACCAATCAAAACAATTTTAGAACAATTTTAGAACAATTTTAAAACAATATTTATTTTTCCCTTTTATTTTAAAACAATCTCCGAACAATTATGGAAATTTAAAACAATTTTAAAACAATTTTAGAAACAATTTTTAATAATTCAAACAATTTTGGACATTCCCTGGGGGCTCCGGAACCTCAGCATTTCTAAAAACACCTAAATTAATTGTTTTTGGAATTCATTCTTGTCAAACCATTCACTTTCGCTTTTGAGACACATCTGTTTTATCGTTTTCTACATTTATCGACATTGTGTGTGCAAAAAACTATGAGTAAGTGTAACTTGATAAAACACAGCCAGGCTATGTCAGAATCTGAAATGGCAGCTGGGATCTAACCACAATTCACAGCTCCGATGAATCCACGCCTGGCAGCTGGCCAGCTTTGGCCCAAGGCGCGGCGCACCGCACGCCTGGCAACATCACCATAGATCTAGATGGTGAGTGGGGAAATATCCATGAAATATCCCTGAATGACATCAGGTTTGTGAGTCAGGATGAAAAAAATGCAGGAATTGTTGATGGATACATCAACTATCCAGGTTTGGAGGCAGCCGTTCTCTGCCAAACTTCGTTTCTCAGCTGTGCGACAATCAACAATGGACATATGGCACCTATGGGTCAGAATTATATGATATGATCTCAAAAAAAAGGATTCTTCCACAGTTCCACATTTTCCCAACAAAAGTGGATCTATGTGGAGATCACCCCATCTGATGTCGTCAGACATATTTAGCCATCGTGGATCCGCTGCTGGAACCTCTGATGGATGCTGCGTGGTTGGATCTTTGCCACCCTGCTCCTTGGCGCGGCGCGTGGCGTGGCGGAGGTCACGGTTGGTAAAATGAGATCCGAACAAGCCCATGGCTTTTTTCACCAAAAAAAATCTGAAAAAAACACGAAAAAATGTGGATGTTCACCATTTACAAAGATCTTCTTTGTGATGTCCACTGTCCACTGAAAATCTTTGTGGGGTCAGGAACCACTTTCACCATGGCCGTTACATGCCGTATTTCCCGATCAAGGGATGATCATCCCGGTGAGTAGAGGTTTCTAGACCCTGGTTCTTTCCAAAAAAACCATGGACCTTAGGACCTTGGCACAGGTTTTTTTCCAGGGTTTGTGGATTCTGGAGCCCCAAATCCAATGGTTGATCAAAACATATCCCCCTAGCAGGGCTACCATGGATTTTCATGGCGAAATCCCGACCAATGTTTGATGGTTCAATCAGTTGAATCCCCACCAATTGGTGAAATCCTTCATCAATGGGAACCAAATAACCAACCCAAATCGTCTTGCTTACCTATCCCCGTTACATATCATTACATCCCATATTTTCCTCGGACGCGTCCCCAGTAAATTGCAAGCATGTTCCCCTTAAACCTCAGGTTTATGAGAAGTTCCCTTGTGCTCAAGGTGCTGTCGGTGATGAAATTGGGACGCGGAATGTTGCTCCAGCTAAGATGGGGATTGAACGAGGAATAGCAGGGATATTAAGGTAATCATACATATAAAAAAATAACATATGACTGATATTCATATTGGTGAATTGTATATTATATAGTTTGATACACATGTATGTAATCATGTATATATATATACATATATATACATATATATATACACATTGTGTATAAACAAATAATGTGATATTATTATTTTTTGTGCGTGTGTCTGACGGAGTATAATCCTGAAATGGCAATTTGAATAGGGAACGCGATGATAAGTCACTGCATGTAATGGGGTTTTACCAACATTTTCAGACCCACCGATATAAACATGATAAGACACTTTGATACGTCGTAGGATGGTTCCATGCCCATTTACTTCAGTTGCTCATGGTTCGTAGGATTATATATATATATACATACCCTCTGGTAAATTAACATAGACCCTGAAAATGACCAATTTATAGTGGAAACTAGTCTTCCAAACCCTATCTACCAGGGTCTATGTTAATTTACCAGAGGGTATCAGTTGCATCTTGTGTTTCGGCCAACCCTCGGAAAGGAAAATCCTTGGTGCCAGGCAGCGGGGAAGTTGTTGGGACACCTAGCCTAGAGCCGTAGGCCCTTGGGGCCGGGTGCCTACCATCAACTGAGCTCGTGATTAGGGGTTTATCACAAAGCCGATTGTTTCATTTTTCTGTTTTTAAAAACCCCGGCCATAATGGGGATTATATGTATATATATATACTTTCATAGGGAAAATTTGGTGTAGAACGAATCAGCATAATGATGAATGATCACTGAAATTCGGGGGTTTAGTCACCAAAAAATGCGGGCTGCAAGGATCATGTGTCACCCCAAGCTTTTCTTTAAGGGTACCTTTTGGCGTTTCAAAAACATCGTTTTTGGGACGGAGAAAGAAAACTCAATCACCTCCCAGCTACTGAGATGGATTTTTACATGAGTGGCCCATGGGTAAAGATCATCACGACAACAGACATCAAAAATCCATCAAAAACAGGTCGTCATTGCATGACTGCTGCGTTTGGTCGTGGTGACTCTGTGCATGGCGGTGACATGGACACAGTTTCATCATGGCCCCTGATCAGCGACACCGCTCTGAGGCAGCTTGGTCCCTTGCCGCCCGCCGGCTTCTGGGAGGCTAAACGTCTGAAGGTAATCACCAAAAAGGTAGAAAAGTGGTGTGTAACTCTTTTAGTTGGATCGCTTTTCTATATTTTATGGGTGTTACTGGAATGAACGAATACCAGATCCTGCTAAAACTATGTGAAAGTTTTATTTTAGGTAGCCAAGGATGCGATTTGCCATTGGATGCTTTGAGATAGGTTAGCCTTAGTGGCCTTAGTGCTTAGAACCGCATCATTGGTAGCTCCAGCGCCAGTAAACTAATCATGCTGTTCACAAGCATCATCAAGGATCAGTTATGATCAGTTAATCACCAAAAATCCAACATTGTTAGCCAAACTGATTATTGCTGATTGTCGATCAGTACTGCTGATTGTTGATAATGCTAAATAGTTGCTGAGTGTTAGCCAAATTGTTTGCCAAACTTACTAACAATTGGCAGTATATGAACTTATTCGCCAGTGGAGCTTTTCTGAATCGCTCGCTGTTGGAGATGATTGAGCGAAACATGTCAAAACTGCTTCAAATGTCACGTTCAGCATCATTTCATCAGTGCCCAGCCAGTTGACATGATGATGGTGATGGTGATGATGATGATTATTGTTATTGTTCGTAGCCGTAGTCGTAGCCGTCGTCATAGTCGTCGTAGTAGTAGTAGTACTACTATGTACTACTATTATTATTGCCACTATTTTTATTTCTTCTTACTATTATTGAATTGTCAAATTGTTGCTGGAATTATGAAAGTGATCTTTCAAACTGCCATCTGACCATCTGCCAGACTCGCATGATCATCAAGAAGAGTCGCTTCATAGCGCGCCTGGGTGCCTGTAGCACCTTGGAGGAAGCCAAAGATTTCAGGCGCGGTATAGCCTTGGAGGGGCTTCAAACGCCTTAGACCTGGCGCAGATAGGGGTAATAACCAATGGTATAACCAATGGTATTAGCACATTTCCACGTTTTTTTTTGGTACATGGATCAACAGACTTTAGGGGATTGAAATTTACCCAGGAATTATGGGGATCCGAGAAGTACAGGGATGCCACCCGGTGTGTCGAGGAGGCCGAGTTTCACCCAACAAGTAGCCATGTTATCATCATGGAATCATCATCAACATTGGAATTCTTGTTAATGTTACCAAGGTTATTATAGGTTAATGTTAATATCATCAACATATCTCAAGATTCTCATTGGAATTTTTGATTTACCAAGAAAGGCCAGGCCATTTTACGAACATTATCATTGGATGGGGATGTTTCACCATCTTCCCATTATCATCAACATTTACCAACAAAGAAGGTCATTTTAGGAACTATCTTAGCAAGTTCAACAGCATCCAACAGCCGTTGGAGATATGAAGATCATCCCATGAACGCTCTCCAGCTGCACCAGGGCCATGGTGTGTGATCCGAAAGCCAACCACAACTGCTGTGCGGCGAGAAGTCGAGGTGGGATGCCATTGGACTGCAGGAGGGGTAGGTCAGTAGGTCACATTTTTCGTGTTTTTTCGTCGCGGCGAAGATGTCATGCTATGATCATGTGGTGATGCTGTCTTGTGAGTTGGTCATGCGTTTGAACTCAATTTCTTGGTGTATCTCTGGGCTCAAGCTGCTTCGAGTTTCTGACGTGATTTCTATTGATCAAATCCGATTAAATAAAGCACCAGCAATGGCTCCTATGAAAGCGATGAAGGCCAAAGCTACCATGAAGGCGATGAAGAGTGCGAAATTGATGTCCAAGGGTGCCCTCGCCACGGAGTTGGCGGATGCTGCCGGATTGAAGAAGGGTGAACTCTCAAAGGTGTTGGACGCACTGGCTGAGATTGGCAGCAGGGAGGTGAAGAAGAACGGCAAGTTTACGCTTCCAGGCCTTTGCATGATCAAGACCCGCAAGAAGAAGGCAACGAAAGGCGGCAAGAGGATGATGTTCGGCAAGGAAGTGAAGGTCAAGCCGCAGCCTGCAAAGACTGTGGTGAAGGCTTTTCCAGTGGCAGCTTTGAAGCAGCAAATTTGAAGCGGCAGTCTACCACTGGTGGCACCTTGGGAACAAGGGCCAATGCACCAGATTTTGGAGACTGAGCATTGTACATTTTGTGTCTATTAAAATTGGAATGCCTGTTTCGATGCGTTCAGCCACGCTGAGCTTGCAAGTTGCCAGTGTGGACTTTGAATATTCCGCGTCATCATGGCATCAGGAAAGAAGCGGATGGATGCAGTTGTTGGCACAACCACCATGGCATGAATTGGCATGAAACACCTACTTGAGCCATAGAAAATACCCCTATCACATGGCATTGTACTGGTTGGTAAATGGGCATCCCTGCTATGATAATATGATATTGTGTATATAATAGATAGTTATCCCGAGCAAACTAGTTTGTATGACCCCCTAAATTCACCTGTCGAGGGAGGTATTTTGACTGGCTCATTCATTCTTGCCAGCATAACTTGAGACGATCCCAAATCATAGGTAGCGCTCACGAAGCGCCGAAGCGCCCTTCAGCATCATAAAACAACAATAAAAACATCCCAAAAATAGTCCCATGATATTATATGATATGCCATTATATTGATATACATCCAAAAAACATCCCAATTGAAGATTTGCATATTTTTCTCCATATCTAATGATATCGCCATAATGACATCCCCAGTTGGTTTTTCGACATCTCCCGATCCAATGGTAGGTGGAGAACTAGGCAGCTCGGACGATGGGGAGCCCGCCGGCACGGCAGGCGTGGTGGATTTGGGACACCAAGAGAAATGGTGGAGAAAAAACATGATTTAACCATGAAACATGGTGATTTCATGGGATATTCATGGAGATTTTTTTCATGGGATATAGCACATATATGCACTAATATATGCACTAATATATGTATGAGATTTATGTATATCCACCAACGAAATGGCAATTTCCATCGGGAAAATGATGATTTTCTGAACTCGTTTTTTTTAGCCTTCTGTTTCAGTTGCTCAAAATGGCCCAAATCATCACATCTGGGTTTTTCAGGATTCCAAATGAGTTTGATGGCCTGGAATTTCGTAGAATCCATCAATTCCTTCTGGTTTATGGTTGGATTTTAGTGATACATGTGCAGGTGAAAAAATCATTGCGGTTGATGATTGATGTAATGGTATGATACCCTCTGGTAAACGTTTACATAACTATGGAAAATCACCATTTTTAATGGGAAAATCCACTATTTCGACTGGGCCATTTTCAATAGCTTTTTGTATGTTTACCAGAGGGTAACATTGTTCGTACTAGTACACTACATGAATCTAACATGCAATCAGGAAAGGCACAGCGGCTTGATCATTCGCAAAAAAAATAGCCTTCACGAACATATGGATAATCACTGGTTGGTGGTTTGGAACATGGCTTTTATTTTCCACAATATATGGGATGTCATCCTTCCCATTGAAGAACTCATATTTTTCAAGATGGTTATTGCGCCACCAAGCAGATCATGATGATCCATGGATGTGGGTCGAAATCCCAAAGCCGTGATTCACAATGGCCAATGGCTGGCATCGTTGTGCCACATTTTTGGTGGGATCAGAGAATGGACTCATGCCACATGCGATGCCAATGATTCGGAAGCCAGGGATGCCAATGCGAGCAGTTCTCGAGGGTTCTCACCTCTTTGGTGCGATCGTGGTGGTTACGAGGTGCCAAAAATCCCCAGAAAGGTAATGCAACTCCGGTGATTGATCATGGGACATTTTCATGTCTTCCGAAATTTCAACCTGAAAAGCCAAAATCATCCAACATTAATGATATTAATGGGAAGACGATCGGCTCTTGTTGGACATGAACATCATGTTGGGAATTCCATGCTGGATTTCCGAGGGGACGTACATCATCGGCAACAGGAGAAACGGTCCCACCATCCGTGTTACTTCTGGGTGCAATCCAAGTGAACTAAGTGGGAGTCATGTGATATCAGTTATATCCCAACAGTTAAGGGGGTCAGTACCATAGTTCTCCATAGTTATGCCATAGTTTATACCATATTTTATGCCATAGTTTATACCTTTAATTATTCCATAGTTTGTACCATAATTGATGTATATATATATATATAGCTACTATATATTATTATATTATATTATACATAGTATTTATAGTATATTATATAGATAGATAGATAAATAGATAGATAGATAGATATAATTATGATATAGTTATTTCAAAGTCATACCATAGTTATACCCATTTTTGGCCACCCTAAATTCGGTTCCCGGATCCAGATCTTGGCTTAAAACGCAACTGGCCAGGTATTTTGGTGGAATCAAGCTGGGAACTGGCGGGCTTGTCACTCGGTTGAGTGAAAAACTATGGGTGTAACCAGCAAAAAGATTGAAAAAGATAGGAATTTCAGATATTCAAGGGAAAAACTACAGGAAACCATAGATTTTCCCATTGAATATGAGGCTTTCTTATAAAATTTCCTTTAAACCAATCCATTGACATATGGGCACATGATTTCCTATGGGTAAATGAATTTACTAATTATGGGTTCACTATGGATACATTATTTCAACTACGGTAAGCCGTAACCTATCGTCCTATCTTTTTGATTCCCCCAAAAGCAACCAAAAGTGGGTATAGGTCACCCCAAATAGTAACCACTATGGGCATAGAAAACCTATTTAGCAGGATGTTACATGTCTATATTTGAATCGCTTCGCGACGAGGACCGCCCGCACCCCAATTAGATGTGCAGATCAGGGACGACATGTCGAAGTTGAGGAGTATGGTAGTTGGAGATGCGGAGCGAAGAAGACGGGCCTACTTGGCCCAACCAAAGCCGACTGGGTCAAACTTGGCTGCCCTTGGCCTTAAGTTGGGCCGAACACTAGCCGACTTGGGCCCAACTTGGGCCTAACTTGCGCCGAACTCGGCCCACTTGGCTCCAACTTGTCAGCCCAACTGAGGAAAGAATGGGACATTTCCTTCGGAGTTGGAAACTTTTTCGGGTTTTGGAGGGGGAGACATGGGGTTTGTCGTGGGACCAGATCCAGTTTTGAATTCTAGATGTCGTAGCTAAGCTAGATGCAAGATTTGAGGATGCAAGGTGTGAGAATGTAAGCTGTGAGGATGCAGTGCGTGCAGAAGGTAAGATGCTACATGGAAGATAGGATGCTGCAAGATGTGCAAATGTAGGAGCGGTACGCGCACCATATGCAGATGCAACATGGAAAATCAACAGATGGGTACACGCTTACAACAAAGGCGCGTGCCCCCTTCACGAAATCCAAGAATGCATCATGCAAACACTGAGGCTCCCCGTCGAGGAACGGGTGCAACTCCTGTTGGAACTCGGCGTATACTCCTTCCGCAAGCCAGCAGACGAGGGTGAGGAGGCAATGGAGGTGGTGGAGATGGCGGAGGAGGATGATGGCTTCGAGGAGGTTGACTTTGGCGGCGGGTCTTCCTCCGAAGAGGAAGCATTGCCCCGGGACCCCGCGTGGCAGCCGCTGAAGCGACACAGGTGCCGCCGTAAGGAGGCGCCCCAGCAGTTCCTTCCGGCGACTCACTGGGCAGTGGTCCCCACCCCCGTCGAGGACTTAGTTGCTCCGTGTCTTGTTAACACATAATAATCCCGGCAAGAGATTCCAAACAATGGTGCAAGCAACATGACGAAGAGAGGCTAAGTTAGATTTTGCGAGGATCTCTGTACGTGTGCAAGATCTCCCCGACAGGTTCTCTGTAGAAGCTGCTGTGCAAGATCCCTTTGTAAAGCCATCTGTACAAGGTGTTTGCAAGAGATTCACACGCAAGCTCACTGTATAAGATCTCTGTTCAAGCTACCTGCACAAGCTCTCTAAACGAGACCTCCTGGCAAGATATTTGTAAGAGACCCCTTCGCAGGACCTCTGTAGAAGATCTTTGGAAGAGGTCTCTTGGCAAGATCTCTCTTTGAGATCTCTGCGGGCACTCTCTAAAATTCAAGACAAAGCTGCCTTGGCAGGATCTATGCGGCAGATCTCTGTGCAAGGGTGCCCTGGCAAGATCTCTGTGCAAGATCCCTGTAGGGGCTCTCTTGGCCAGATCTCTGTAAGAGACGCCTTGGCAAGATCTCTGAAACAGATCTCTATAAGAAGTCTTTGTACAAGATCTCTAAAAGAGGTCCCCCTGAGAAGCTTTCTGTATAAGTGCCCTGCAAGAGGTCTCTTGGCAACATGTCTTTATGAGATTTGTCCGCAAGCTCTCGATAAGAGGTATTTTGGCCTCTTGGGTAGATTTCAACAGATCTCTAGGCAAGGTCTTTGTAGAAGATTTCCATCAGATATCTCTTAGCCCTCTGTATAAGAACCCCCAAGGTGGTCCCTTGGCAAGATAAGTTTAAGAGATCCCTGCGCACGCCCTCTATAAAGGACATTTGGGCAAGATTTGTGTACGAGCTCATATAAGAGGTCTCTTGGCAGAATCTGTTTAAGGTTGCTCTGCACAAGCTCTTTGTAAGAGCTCTCTTGGCAAGATCTCTGAAGGAGACCTCTTGGCAAGATCTTTGTACAAGCTCCCTAAAAGAGGTCCCTTCACAAGATTTGCTCAAGAGATCTCTGCACAAGCTCTTTAGAAGAACTTTCGTGGCAAGACCCTTGTAAGAGACCTCCGGGGAGGATCTCAGCACAAGCTAATATAAGAGGCCCCTTGGCAACATCTTTTGGTGCACAAGCTCTTTGTACTGGCTCTTTTGGCAAGGTCTCTGCGCGAGCTCTCCAGAAAAGACCTCCTTGCCAACATCTCATGCAAGATATCCTTGATTATCAAAAATTGAGCACCGCCACGATTGAGCATGATCGGACACGTCCAAAGTGCCGAAGGGGTCGCGCGAGCGATTTCAAAATTTTCACCGCACCACAGCGAGGGCTATCTGACAGGCTCAAAGTGCCGAGAGGGTTGCGCGACCAATCTGAAAATTCGCACCGTGCAACAGCAAGTGGGTGATCTGGCAGCTCGAAACCGATGATAGGGGTGTGCATTGGCATGTGTGATCCCAAAAATCGCGCCGCACCACAGCGAGAGCAATATCATTATTCGATATGGCAGGCCCAGGGTGCTGAAAGGGCAGCACGAGGGATCGCAAAATTCGCACCAAGCCACAGCGAGAACGATGTGACCCGCGCGAAGTGACAAGAGAGTTGCGCACGCGATCTGAAAACTCACGCCAGGCTGCAACGAGAGCGACCCGACGCGCCCAAAGTCACGAGAGGATTGCAAGAACACGTGTTAGATTTTCGCGAAATATTAGAACATTAGAACATGCGAAAAGCAATGGTTTGCCTCGGTTTCAGGTGCTTTTTTGTCGAGTTCTCTCAGCTGCCACGGAAAGATGAGCTCGAAACATGCAAAGTGCTGCGCTTCCCGCGCGGAAAAGCTGTTGTGTCCCTAATCGCAACCGACGACAGTTTCAGAGAACGAGGCTGCTGACCCTTTCAAATAGATAGTGTCTGGATGAGAAGGAAGGATACGCTTTTACTCTTGATGATGTTGAGGATTGTGAGGTCAAGGGGGAGGAAGATGATGATGTTGAGAATGATGATGTTGAGGAGGAGGACCGATCCCAAGACGGGGACCCACACCTTGTACGAGCCAGCGCAGTCGAAATGCAATTGCACATGTCACAATAGCCATGTCATGCCCGGGGGCCCCACTTTGTGCGAGCCTACGCAAGCGAAATGCACATGGACATGTCACAAGGCCCATGCTTTGCGAGAGTTTACAGGTAAAATGCCGGCGACCAGCTGGAGCATCCTGATCAAGCACCGGCCTTTACACTTACCGTAAGAACCCCTCAGTGTGGACATTCTGTTTGGAGAATTTTGCGCGAGAATTTGCAGGTAGATGATGACCGGGGACCACACTTTGTGCAAGCCTGCGAGTCGAAATGCACTTGGCCGCTTCCCAAAAGCCATTTTGTTCGAGAATTTAGAGGTAAATTGCCGCAGGCTAAGACCGGGGACTTTGTGCGAGCCTGCGAAGGCGAAATGCACATGGACATGTCACAAGACCCACTTTATGCGAGAATTTTAAGGTAAAATGCAACACCCTTACAAGGGGATCTTGTTTACAGAGATCTCATCACTGAGGCTTTGTAGAATCTACGGTGCATTTTTCCGTCATGTCTTTTGCTGTTTGGCTGCTCTTGCCGGGATAGTCTTTTGCAAGCCCCCTCTTCTGTCAGGACGGCTCCATCACTCTCCTGGGCGATGGGACTGGGACAGCGACGAGCTCAGGTACTGCTTTGATCCCGAGCTCCTCAACCTGCTGCGGACCACGCCTGATGGGCGCGTGTGCCCGTACATGAAGTTTGCGGCGGGGGAGGGAGAGAACTCAAGGGGGGCCGATGGAAGAAAAATGTTCTCTTTTGACTTTTGAAAAAGTAAAAACGCCGAAGTTTTGTTGGGCACGTTGCCGCCGCGTGTTGTGTGAAGCTCCGCGTGCATAATCCATATTTGTAGCTAACAAAATTTTGGGATATGGTGCTATAGGGATAGGGGCGGGCCCGGACCACCAGGAGTTGAAGAAAGCTGGGCAAGCCTCGTGAAGATCCGTGCCGAACCCCGGCAGCTCTGCACCACCCCATGCTCATAGTCCCAACTCCGAACTTGAGAGCCGCCACCTGCATTCGCACGGGGCAAGCGGCCGCGCGTCTCTGGGATGAACACACACACCCACCCGGGCAGCCATGCTACGCACATGAAGGTCCAAATTAAGTCCAGCATGGCTGAACTTGGAGCCGTTTGATGGCAACAAGTTGGACCCAACATGGACGCACCATTTGGAACATCGTTGATTCCAAAAAACGTGGAAAATACCGGTGAAAACATAGTTTTTGACGATGTCGTATTGGGCCGGCAATGTCCCCGTGTTGCGCCCATGTGGGGCTCAACTTGGGCCGGAGTTGCTCCCAAACGGGTCCAGCTTCTGGCCAAGTTGCGCCATGTTGGACCTCAAGTTGGGGCCAATTGGAGCCAAGTGGGCCCAAGTTGGGCTCAAGCTTGGCCTTGTTGGCCAAAGTTGAGCCCATGTTGCGGTGGCGTCGGATCGAAGCAGTGAATTTGGACGATATTGCGCCGATACGAAAAACACGCAAATTACCACAGCAGGGGAACCTCTTTTTGGCGACCTGTCCCGGGGGAACATGACCCCCCCAGCTGAAGCTGCATCACTGAATGGTTGGTTCACTCGATGACACTGGCCGCTAGACTATCACGCCTTGGCACCTTCGGTGCGGGCAGATTTTCTATGTGGGATTGCTGTTTGTATATGTATATATATATATACATGGTTACATATACATATTTGCATTTATTTACAAATATTTACCTTTATTTACACATGTTTTCATTTTTACATATTAACACTTATTTACATATATTTACATATGTTTACGTTTGTTTACATATATGTACATGTGATTACATATATTTACAGATATGTACTTACATATATATATATATTTATACATGGTAGCATACTAGATCTTGGTATATGCCCAAGAAATTCGGAACAATCCAAAAATGGACTGGGACTTGTTATGCAAACAGATTGGTTGCAGAGAGGGCCATTTGATCTAGTTTGGTCTGAAATCCCGGTACTAGACTTGGTTGGAACCCCGTTTTTTTCACAGAAAAGGTTCTTATGCGATGTTCACCCAACCAACCATTGTTGAATAGACGCAGTACACATTACAATGCGTCTTTTCAGTGGCTGTAAATGCAAATCGAAGAAGGATGATGAAGGGTTGTTTGTGCGTTGAGGATTTTTGGCTTCAAATTCAACGGATCCGGGGAGATCTTCGAATATTGGTCCAATTTGTTGCAGGGGTTGATGCTGGATTGATGATTGGAAATCCATGGAAATCTTATATTGGTGATGTACCAAGTATTTTCAACGAAATTGAGGGATCCCCTGTTCTATTTCTATTCCAATCTCTGACACCTCCAGGGGCACTTGATTTCGCAACCTGGCAGTCGGACAGAACATGACAAAATGTTCGTTGAAATATACAAGAGTGCTCCAAAGTTTTTTTAAGGCACATGATATCCACTTTTGGGGGCACATTGGTATTAGTTACCTTGGTTTACAATTCCTATTAGTAGTGCTCATAACTATATGATGTGATTGCCAGACGCCATAGCCACTAAAGCCTCAGCAAAGTGTGCGACTTTGGCATGAAAATACGTATAATTTCCTTGAACTATAGATCTACTTACCATAAGGGAAAATATGATATCTCTTAACTATATCACAGTTTCCATAAACCCAACAGTTTTGACTATTATAACAGATAAAACTATTATAGCTATTATAACTATTCTAATTGTTGATATCTACTTATATCCCCAATTGGATATATATATATATATATTCAGAATTATATAGCTTTATTAACTATCATAAACATTGAGATAGTTCTGATCTCCCCAAGATATCTCCAAGTCGTCCGTGAACTTCGCCGAGGTCCGAGCCTACTCCGCACTGACCCGGGCAGTCTTGGAGGAGGCCCAGCTGGAGGCGAGTTGGCGGAACCACCATGAGGATACTGTGGATGGAAGAAATCCGATAAACCACCAATTTGGGATGGTTAAACCAATATCTATGGGATTTATCAACAATTTAAATCCTGTGGATGGAAGAAAAACCTATAAATAATGGGATGTTTACCACCAACTGGTGATTCGGATTTCGCTGGCCCATCCACAGTAGGACTATGATTTAAGTTCCAGTTGTAGTAACCTGATTTTTGAAGATGCTGTTTTTTGTTTTGGAAAACTACGCATTGGCTAATGCACCATGGGGAATCTACTCAGGATATATATATATATACATACATACATACATAATTATATATATACATATGTATATATATATATGTATATATATATGTATATATATATATATGTATATATATATATATGTATATGTATATATATATGTATATATGTATATATATATGTATATATATATGTATATATATATGTATATATATTTATATGTATATATATACATATATATATTTTATTCATTGATTCATTCATTCATTCATTCATTCATTCATTCATTCATTCATTTATTTATTTATTTATTGTTGTGGCTCCCTTAGGCAAATCCAACTATTGGTGTTCGATCAATCCCAAAAGTGTATACACGGGGATATTCGCTAGCCACAAAGAAGATGTCTTCACTATATGAAGCAACCATTGAGAAACAAAATAGGATATAGGATAGATGACTTGTGATGGAAAAATCGTTGGGGCAAAATGCGTGACTTTGAAATGCTTCCAATAGTGGACGAAGTCCAACTGATTTTGTTTTGTTTATCATGAACATCTCTTTTGTTGGATCTCAGACGTATGGTTCCGTCCACTTCTGCTGGCTAATATCCGCATTGTCCACTAGTATTGGTGGCTGACAATGCGATTTGCGTGGTAATCCGCAATGTATTATTGCCATTTGCTAATTGACATCCCCATTGTGTCTTGCTGCTTCAGCGTCTTTGAATTCCCATTTTTTGATGGTGACCCAGCCCTCCCACGTTTTGTTGGTCAGATTCCCGGTTTTTAATGGATTAATATTCCTCCTTTGCTGATGATATCCCAAGATTTTGGGGTCACATCCAAATTTTTGCCAGTTTAGATTCCTACTTAAGATCCACTCTTCTGGGGGTTGTTGTTGGATATGTATAGATATGTCTAATGCAAACACATTGCTGTGGGTTTTGGAATTAAGAACATGTATACATCATACATATATATAAAATATAAATATATATATAATATAATATAAATATACATACATATATATATATATATCCCCAGATTTGTGGCCCAAAACCATGAAATTTCCCCTGTTTTGTTACTTGAAGTCGGACACCTTTAAGTCAGGAGATGGTGGAAGGTTTGACACTCCGTGTCCGCCGTGTACCGGCAGCCCAGGTGCTAAGAAGGGACATGCTGAGGTCGATGTACGACGTAGAACACAATAAAGAACCAATGATGGTGGCCAAAATCCCAAATTGGGTGATTTGATTTGGTGAAATGTTGTTGTTGTTGTCGTTTTTTTTTTCGAGAGAGAGAGAAACTTTCCAACCTTTTGCATGTTTTTTTTGTTTGTGTACGTCAAATCATGCATATTGACCAAAGACAAAGTGACAAGGGGTGCGTCCATCTTATCCAGAGAAGGTGCACCGACTCAGCCCAGGTATTTGTGAACTTGTGACCTGGTGTTCTGTTTTGCCTCTTAATTTTTGCTAATGGGAAGATGGTCCCCATCCAAAAGCCACATCTAGTTTAAACATCTTTAAACTAGATGTATGAACATCTATAACTGCACATCTACGACCCAAATTTACAACCTCTCCACACAGCACCGGTGCAATGAGTTCATGCATGTATTCAAAAGGCACACACACACGAACATATGATATACAATCTCATTTATATAGATATAATATCAAAAAACATTTTTCATATCATCCAGATACATCAGTAGATAAGTACATAGATTTCTGTATATATATATATGTATATACATATCATTACATAATATAGATGATTCTGAATCCGCCAAGCAGGTCTCCTCCCTCTACCGCTGCACTGGGCAGCTGGGAGACGTGCACTTCGCAGCCGATGGCACGGCAGAGGTGGGTTCGTTGCGGGGATCGGCGGCAGATGGGGCAGAACATATCGGGAAGAGCCTCCAAAACCCAGTTTTTTTCCATGAAATTTCATGGTTTTTCATGGCTTAAGAAATTTAAAGTTTCAAGTTCCCCAGTCTTTGATGGTGATAATTTTGGGATTTAATCCTCTATTTGGGGAAAACACACATATATATATATATATATATATAGTGACATGGCACAAACAAGAAGGGCTGAACATTTGCCAAGATAGGAATATAGAGTGATAGAACCCACAGGATCTGCAGGACATGGCAATTCCTGCAGGAATGGACCTGCAAACGACATTGAATGGTTTGACATGAGCGTTGGATTCTGATTGTGACCAGCAAAATAACTTCAGGATCTACCGTTTGGCAATAAAACCTGGCAAGGGAAAGTCTCCATTTGGAAAATCACCCAGAAACTCAATTCTAAGAGGGGTAGAGCTGGTGGAAACCCCAACCCCGCAGCTACAGTATTGTTGGTTAATTATCACATCACAACAATTATGATCTGTTGGTGAATATCTTCCAAACATCCATATGAATAAATCCATACAAATCCATGATTTCAATGATGTTTAGGGTAGTTCTATTGACTCATTCGCTGATCTCCATCGGTTCACACGGTGTTATAACCATCATCGGCGTCATGGCAGGCCGAACTCTGGGTGCCTCACAGGGACCTGAACGAAGTGCGGAAGGAGTTGATGGCCCTTGGATCACAGGTGGGGTCAACTGGATGGGGGTTCCATAGCCATGGGGATGGTGCCACCAGCTTGCTGGATGCCAACCTGGCCTGGTAATGGAAAAAACGATGGAAAATCACCGTGCTATTAATGGGTAAATCAACTATTTCGACTGGGCCATTTTCAATCGCAAACTGTGAATGTTTACCAGAGGGTATTTCATGGAGAATCCGATTGAATAAAATGGATGAGAACTGGACCACGACTTAGGACACCTCCATGTGAAAGATGACCATAGAATTTCCATCTGTTTTCTGAAGGATATCTACAATAATCTATAATAATCTATTATTAAGTGGATTTGGAATTCCATGTTAATCGATTGAAGATATATAAGTTACACCATGGATTTTCCAAAGTTGGGCCGAACAAAGAAGCCTTGATGCAGGACTTTGTGTTTCAGGTTTGTCTCCACTGATACACGGGCAAAGGGCTTTGTTTTCTTCTATCAACTGCATTTCTACCAGGAATGTGTGACATTTCTCAAGCTACGGGGTGCTTTGTTTGAACCTTGGATGGCCTTACCCTCTGGCAATTTAACATAGCTATGGAAAATCGCAATTTTTAATTGGTAAATCCACTACAAATGGCAATTTTCAATAGCTTTTTGTGTTAGTTTACCAGAGGGTACATCACTCAGAACCTGCAAAAATCTGTGAGGTCCGCCCAACATCTCCGAGCTTTGGCCTGGCACTGGCAGGTGGAGATTGAAGAGGGTGACCCAGGTGACCAAGATCATCTTGAGGCCGGGATCAACCAGGATCAACCACCCCTTCCAGCAAAGTCTGATTGAAAAACCTCCAAGAAACCAAAAAAAACAGAAGTTTCAGCCCGACTTTGGCGAAATCCACGTGAGATGCCAGCCCCTTCCCCAGCAGGATGCTGAAACGGAGGCACTGACTGCATCCGGGTGTCCTGGGGTTTGGTTCATGTCCATGTCACGTGGACATCAAGAGTCAAGATGGTCGTTCATCACGGATGATTCACGGATGAGAACAATGACTGGTTGCTGGTTTGGAACATGAATTTTATGACTTTCCATTCAGTTGGGAATGTCATCATCCCAACTGACTTTCAGTCCATCATTTTTCAGAGGGGTTGGTTGAAACCACCAACCAGATGATATCTTCAACTTACTGGTGCTTAGTAGGGAATGGATGGGACTGGGGGTTGCTGGGATGATTCTTGATAGTGATTATGGATTATTCTCGAAAATTCCCTACGTTTAGCACCAGTAAGTCAATGATCGCGTGCTGTTTAAGCAGGAATAGTTGATCCATTCCCTGCTAATCCACCAGTAATAATCCCATTCCCATCCCATTTAAGCAGGACAGCTTGTGAAACCCATCGCTAAGGAGTTGCTGGAAGATAGCGAGGAGTCCGAGGTTTTCCAGGCGGACGCAGCTGTTGAATCGGTCCTGGCTCGTTTCGCCGAGAAACGAAACGAAACGTTGGAGGTATCAGCTAGGTACCATCCATGGAATGGCACCAAAATAGATAGATAGATAGATAGATAGATAGATAGATAGATATGCAAAACACACAAAAAAAATCCCGGTGATTTACTCATTTCACTGTTGGCAGTGGCTGGGCGCATGGTTTCGAGCCCGTGATCATAGAGATCTATGTGCCATGAAGGTTGGATGACCATCCCCCGAAAACTAAATCATTGACCACATCTCTTGATATGGGCATATCTCAAAATTGGATAAAATTGGTAGGATACCAAGATACCCATGAAATGACAATGTTTAATGATGTTAAGCTGATGTTCAGCTGATGTTTAATGATAATTCACCAACATTTTTTTGGGGGGAGCGGAGGACGAAGCCTTAGAGCAGTGGAATGAGTTGCTGGCTGAGGAGCACATGGAGGCAAGGTGGCAAGGTGGCAAGGAGGACGAGGATGACGAGGATGTTGATGATGAAGATCACATGGTTCTTAAAATTATGTTCATTTTCTGGTTGGTGGTTTGGAACATGATGTTTTTTTTCCATATATTGGGAATAATAATCCCAACTGACGAAATCCATCATTTTTCAGAGGGGGTGAACTGACTTGGAAGTGAAAAAACAGAGACAAATGACAGTCATTCCTTCCAGTTGAAGAGTACAAGACATATCCAAAAATCCATACATCTTCTCTTGCATTGACACAATATTGTCGGAAAGCCAGCTGGCAATGCTTCGAAAGGAGTCATCGGTTCCCATTAGCTGCAACATCTCTTCTTCACCACGATTCATCGATGTTGCTTTCCTTGGATGTGCATGTTGTGCAGAAGGTCATGTGGGCAGGCATACACAGTGACTGGAGAGCGTGCAGGACGCCTTCAAACAACCGCGAGAAAGCAGGTAGATTGATGCTTAGAATCTTAGAAATTGATAGAAATTGGTTCCAGCAAGCTTGACTTGGAAACATTGGAAATGTGAAACATCAGATGGAAACGAGCATGGAAACGGTATGAAGACTCAATCATTCCTTGTGCCAACATGACCATCCATTCTGACCACGCACTGCCGTGGCTCAAGCTACGCATTTCGATGTCTAGCGGGAAAATAACAGCTGAGCGGTTGTGTTGCAACGTAAGTCTTTGGCTGCCAAGTTTTTCAGACTGGCAGCGGAGCTGCTAACGCTCCGGGGAACCTAACAATAGCAGAGCCCAAACGCTGCTGAAACCTTGCCGGTGCCGAGAAAGCCATGTCGGTGCTGGAGTGTCTTAAGTGGCACAATTTTGCTTCGAGTCAGCAGGGGATTCTGACTACGGACGGCAAATCTGGCGTCCCATGCTTTTCTGGACAGGTCACGAAGCTGGCCGAGTACCAGTTCAGGGTCCGAGTCCGTCAGTCCATGGAGAAAACCTTGACTGAGGACGATCTCCGGAAGAGGGGGCCGTTGGGGGTCAGATTGATCGATGGTTTGAAGGGTCCAGCTTTACAAGTTGCTCGAGGGTTGCCAATTGACAAGCTTTCTGAAGAAGGGGGTCCATCTTTCCTTTTGAAGAGTTTGCAATCTGCTTTCCAACCACGGGTGAAACAAGAAGCAAGGGATCTTTACCAAGTAGGAGCACAGAATGGAGGCATGTTGTCTAGGCAGAGCGGTGAAAGCATGGTGTCTTACGTCTTGCGCAGACGTACCTGGCATGACATGATGACAGGTTTGGATGCAGGTTTGACGCTGCCAGATGGAATTCTGGCAGAACAACTCCTGTCCAACTCAGGTTTGTCTTCGGATCACCAACTGCTTATCCGAACTGCTCTTCAAGGTGATTTGACATTCACAAAGGTGTCGGAAGAACTCATTGCCCAGCACAGTCGTCTACATGAGCGTGAGCACAAGGGCAAGGGCAACCACTTCCGACAATCTCTGTTCTCAAAAGGGGGCAAAAGTTTTGGCAAGAAGTCCGGATCTTGGAAGTCCTATCACGTGGAGGACGACGCTTCTGAAAGTTGGGAGAATGCATCACAAAGTCTTGGTGAATATGAAGACTATGACATGGGCAGTGCATACTACACCGCTGAAGAGGCCAGCGTGAATGAGGCGTACGAAGTTTCTGAGTATGACATGGCCTCTGACTCCTTCCAAGCTTTTGAGTCCTATGCGGCGATGGTTGAAGTTGGATTGGATGAGCAAGATCAGGAGTCGCTGGATTTGGCGGCAGAAGTGATTCAGTCTGAGTCTGAGGCGTACTTCATGAGGCAGAAGGCAATGTGCAGTGGTCACAAGGGCTTCTCAGGACAAGGACCACGCAATTTCCAAGTTCATGGCAGTTTGAGTTTGGAAGAGAAGAAGGCGAAGTTGCAAGCGGTGAAAAGCCGTACTATGTGCAAGAGATGCTGGCAGTATGGTCATTGGCAAGATGATCCTGTTTGCCCAAAAGGAGGTGGAAAGAAAGGAGCTGGCAAATCAAAGACCTTCTCATCGGCATCTACGACGGCGAGCACTCAGGGCAAGGGCAAGAACTTCAAAGGCCAGACAAAGCCTGGTGAGAAGAACCGCACGGTTTACTTCACCATCAATGAGTACGAGGGCCATGGTGCTGCCGATGGAACTTCCTATATGACTCAGAAGGAGAACTACCAGGCAGTGCCACCACCGAGCTCTTTGGATCCTCCTCAGCCTGCAGAGGAGACCGCTGATGCGGCACTGGACCGCCTGATTGCAGAGGCGGCCTTCCGCCAACACATGAGTGCTCCGGTCTTCTTCGACCCGGCTGAGATTGCAGATCAACCACATGTTCAGGAGCCACCACAGCCTCAGCGACATGACTCTGCTGAGCGGCATCGACATTTAGATCTTTTCCTACAGACAGCCAGCCGTGACCATCCTGATTGGGAAGATGCCAACCGTGAGAGATGGAATGAGTTTGTGCCTGGTCACCCTCTTTTCAGTGCAGAGGATCAGCAGAACATCGCAAGGTGGCAAGAGAAGGCTCGTCTGGGTTTGCCAAGGATTCCTGATCAAGTCCGGCAAGCACCACTTCAAGAACCAGCGTGAGCGAGCGCTGGGTGCCAGCACAAGAACATCACTACACATGGAACAAACTCCAAGTCCCGGCAAGTCAAGTGCAAGGATTGTGGAGTGATCTTGGAGAAGACAGCACGCGTGCCCACGGAGAAGATGCAGACAGAACACAGAGGTTCTTGTGAACACAAGGACAAGGACTTCAGTGGAACAACATCCACAACCTGGCAGTGGACATGCCGATCTTGCGGCCACATTGAGAAAGGCAGCAAGCGACCCGGACAAACCGGGAGACAAGCCAGCAGTGCACAGTCTGCTGCATCGGGTCTGAACCTTCAGGCCACCCCATCAGGAAAAGTACGTGTTGATGGAGGACCACGACAGGTCATGGAACTCATGCAGACGGTTTTGGAACTTCAAGAAGATTTGCAGGTGGACATTGGAGGTGATCAACTTGACAGGATCTATCAACGCTGTCGTCAGTTTGTCTACTCGACAGCCACCAGAGCGGTTGAAGCGAATCCGGGTGCCCAGGGGTACCCGGTTAACGCGCCCGCTGCTGCCTCGACTGTGGGTACGGGGCACCCTGCCGAAGGTGAGACGCGGCAGGAGAGTCCCTCCACGGCAGCCACTGGTGATGGAACCTTGTTGAGTTCAGGCATACACCAAGGGAAGACGTATGCTTGGGTATATCAAAATGAGACAGCCTACACAAAGATGCTCATCTCCAAGAACCAGAACGACCGACTTCGAGATCCCCACTTGATCTCGTATGCACTGTATGCTGAGGACCGGAAGCGACGTGGGGGAACCAACACTGCCTTCATGTCACAGCTTTTGGAGGAGACTGAGGAAGAAGATTACATGTTGGCCGTTTTGGACACGGGTTGCAACAATACCTGCCATGGAGACAAATGGATGGAGAAATATCAGCGTCTCATTGGCCGAGAATTGGAGGCAGAGCCAGCAGATGGACGCTTCAAGGGCGTTGGAGGAAAAGTTGAAGTTGCTTGCAAGAGGATCATTCCCATGCAGATGCTCACTGTGGACCAAGAGAAGATCCCTGGATCCATAGCGTCGGTGGAACTCCAATCTTCTGACACTCCACTGCTGCTGAGCATCCATGCTCAGAGAACCTTGGGTTTGATTCTGGATTTGCAGAACAACACAGCCTACAGCAAGTACCTTGACAAGGAACTCCAACTTCATGGACACAATGGCTTGCCAGCAATACGTCTCCACCCTGGTGAATTTCAGGTTGGATCAGTTGCGATGCATGTCCAAGAATCTGAAGGTTCTGAGGAGAAGACACGGCCAAAGGTGATTGATTTGGAAGCCATGGATGACCACATCTCCGAAGAAGGAGAAGAAGAGCCAGTTGAGGTCAGTGGAAAAGAGGTGGAGGCTGGATATGAGCGTCATTTGCCATTAGCAGAGGAGTCCATCAAAGTTTTGAGCAAAGGACAGAAGAAACAATTGCAAGAGTCGCTTGATGAGATGGATCATCAGGACAGCGCACTGTGGAGCACTTTGGCATCCAAGCCAAGACAGCCGAAAAAGATGCTGCCAAAAGGGTGTCGCACTTTCTTGATGGAACTTTTTGCTGGTACTGCCACACTCACACTGATGGCCGCGCAGATGGGCCTCCCAGTGTCTGAACCCATCGACGTTTTGTACGATGGGAAGTATGATTTGCTGAAGCGCGAGAATCGAGAGAGGATCAGTTGGCAGATAGAACAGGATGATCCGTATCTGCTTTCCATGACTCCAATTTGTGGACCAAGGAGCTCTTGGCAGTACGTGAATATGGCAAGAGGAGGTGAGACTGCAGAGCACATCTTGGAGCAGAGGAAGCAGTGGTATCCTGTGATACGTTGGCTTTGTGACGTTGTGAAGAAAAGACTGGCAAAAGGGAGAGAAGTGGTCTGGGAAAACCCATGGGGTTCACTCATGTGGTACTTGAGATGCGTTGAGCAGTTGATGGAAGCCCAGATCACCAATGCCCTGACATTTGAGCCACTAGAAATCCTCAGAATGGATCAGTGCATGTATGGACTGGTTGATCCGAGGACAGGCATTCCCTACCGGAAGGCCACTGGCTTGATGTTGTCGTCACGACACATGAAGGAGGAACTGTCAGAGCTGTGTGATGGAAGCCATATCCATCAACCCTTAGAAGGAAACCTCACCAAGCAAGCAGAGCACTGGCCAGAGGAACTATGCCATCGAGTATTGAGAGGTGCCATGCGTGAACTTCAGTCTCAAGCTCTTTCAATGGCATTTCCTGTTGAACAAGTAGCTGAAGAACGAGAAGAGGTAGGCTGCTTAGATGCCATACATGATTCCAGAGACCTGGAAGAATCTCCAATGAAGAAGCAAAAGATAGACCACGATGAAATTCAACGTGAAGAGATCTTTGAGGAGATGACAGATGAAGACAAGATGCTTCATCAGAAGGAGAGAGACCGGAAGGCGAAGTGGCTGAAGCTCAACAAAGAGAAGAGGATTGCACTGCGGCGTCTTCATGCCATGATGGGTCATTGCTCAGTAGCCACGATGACTCGGATGCTCAAGTCGTCATTGGCCAGCAAGGACCTGTTAGATGCAGTTCCACATTTCAGGTGTCAGTCATGTGAGGAGAGAAGAAGGGAAGAAGCACCACGTTCAGTGCGTCCAACGCGCTCTAAGGCGGAGCTGAAGTTCAACTATGAGTTAGCGGTGATGTGTTTGAGGTGAAGGATTCGAAAGATCAACGGCACTCGATCTTGAGCATGATCGACATGGCAACTCATTATCACATTGCCGCCAGAGTGGGTCAAGGTGGCACACCTTCCTCACGAGTGTGTGCAGAAGCTCTGAACCAATGTTGGTTCACTCCTTTTGGCGCTCCAAAGAGATTTGTATCAGATCAAGGAGTACACAACAAGGGAAGAGTTTATGCCATGCTCAAAAGACATGGCGTAGAAGTACGGTCAATTGGAGCTCAGGCACCATACCAGTTAGGAACTGCAGAGAGACATGGCGGCATCCTCAAGCAGGTGATGTACAAGGCTATCCACAGCAGACAGCTTGAGGGAGCAGTCGACATCTCAGCTCTTTGTGCAGAAGCCAGCCGCACAAAGAACACCCTGGTCAACAATGGGGGATACTCTCCCATACAATGGGTCCTTGGGTTTACACCCGACGACCTGACCAGCCTCATCAGTCATGATGTTGAAGGGGCTCTAGGAGTTCATCAAGAATTGGTTGAAGAAGAAGAACAAGAGACTAGTCAAGAGGTCTTCATGAGACAGCTTCTCATCCGTCAATGCGCCAAAGAGGCATTCATCCATGTAGATACCAGCATGAAGATTCGTAAAGCCATGTTGAGGAGGGCTACTCCTCTGAGAGGGCCATACAGGACAGGAGACTTGGTTTGCTTTTCTAGGCGAGGAAAGTGGTATGGACCTGCGCGCGTTTTGGCGCCAGAAGGCAAGTCTTCACTATGGTTGGTTCACTCAGGAGTCACAGTTTTGGTTTCTGAAACAGCTTGTAGGCCAGCATCAGGTGAGGAGGTCATGAAGAAGCATGCGCTTGAGATGAGACCGTCTCGGAAGCGCAGACGTGAACTTTTGAGTGACAGCATGGAGGAGGAAGATTATCTTCCCTTCACAGAGGATGGACAGCAGGCAAGATCCTTGAGAGCAAGAATTGAGGTACAAACACCGTTTGTGGATGTGAATCAGAATCCACCATTGGCACAACTGCCAAATGCAGCGCCAGGAATGGCTGCTATCCCTGGCAATGTATCTGAACCATACTCACCGACTGAAGCTATCGATACTCCCAGACTGGAACCTGACGCAGAGATGCCAACTGAGGCACCTGCAGTGGCAACGGACTCAGAGATGCCTGATGATGCACCTGGTCCAACGCCACCACCAGGCCTAGAGGAGATAGCAGATCAGCCGAGCACGAGTGTTATGAGCGGCCAGCCGGAGAGTGAAGTGACCCCGGTGATGTCACAACAGACATCAGAAGTGACTTCAGAGGAGGAGACCATTCAGCCAGATAGGCCAGAAGCGACGACGACACAACTTACCCAAGCTCTTAGGCAAGGAGCAGATCGCTTAGATGGTGTTCCTCGTGCACGTTTGACTGGCCAAGATGGCAGCATGAATTCACATGAGATCAACTATGTCCAAGACAAGGTAGATCGATTTTTGGCGTTTGCAGCGACCAGGCAGCATAGCAAGGTCAAGAAGTATCAGAAAAAGGCAAAGAAGGCAGGAGCAGGCAGAGAGTTGGTTTATGAGAAAGAGAGTGAAGAAATGAAACAGAAACTGACAGAAACAAGACGCAAGGAGTGGGCAAATTGGACAAAGTATTCTGATGGAGTTTGGATAGATGAAAAGCAATTGAAAGAATTACAGTCCAAGCAGCCAAGCCTAAAAGTCATCCCAACTCGTTGGGTTGAAGTGGACAAGTCAGAAGTTGGACAGAAGGAACAGTTGAAATCTAGACTTGTTGTGCGAGGAGATTTGGAAGATAGCTCTAGGATGAGAACTGATAGTCCAACATGTTCCTTGACTGCTACATCTTTGGCATTGGCACTTGCCGCCTGTCGGGACACCGACCTGTGGGGCGGAGACATTTCAGCGGCATTTCTTCAAGGATCCAAACTGAATCGGATATTGGTTTTAGCTCAACCCAAGTCAGGCATTCCAGACGTTGAACCTGGAATGTATTTTCTTGTCAGCTCCACAGTGTATGGCACGAAGGATGCTCCACGAGGGTGGTTCAAGAACCTCTATCAGACCATGTTGCAGTTTGGTTTTCGTCCTATGCCACATGAGGCTGCAGCTTGTGTTTTGAATGGTTCGGATGGCAGATTGGAAGGCATAGCAATAGTGCATGTAGATGATTTGCTTTGGACTGGAGGACCAGTCATAGAGAAGACCATGGAATCAGTTTGCCAGCACTATCGTTTTGGAAAGATTGAGAAGAACCATTTCAAGTATTGCGGCCGGGAGATCAGCAAGGATGAAAAGGGAATTCATGTCACATGTCCTCATCTTGTAGATCGTGTTCGTCCAGTTTATTTGACTGCAGATCAGCGTAAGGATAAGGATGGAAAGGTGACAGAAGAGGTTCGAGGTCAACTACGTAGCGTCATTGGTTCACTTGCATGGTTGGTTAGAGTTTGTCGTCCTGATTTAGCATATGCCATTAGCAAGATGCAAGCGGATGTGCACCAAGCTACATACAAGGACGTTGTCTTTGCCAACGGCATTCTCAATCTGGCTCGGAAGTCAAAACATGTTGGCGTAACATACCCACTCAAAGCCTTCAAGTTTGAGGAAGCCATGATTGTAGGAGTCAGCGATGCGAGTTTCTCAAACGATTTTGACGTCAGTGAATCTGGAGAAAAGATGGGTTTTCGATCGCAAAGCGGAAGAATTATTTGTCTTGGTCATCAATCATTTCAACATGATCACAAGGGTCAGCTGATGCTCATGGAATGGCATAGCACAACTATCAAACGTGTTTGTCGCAGCACTTTGCAAGCAGAAACCATCAGCTTGTTACATTGCGCTGAGTTGACTGAACACCTCAGGATTGTCTTTCATGGATTATGGCACAAACATGACCAACGTGATCGCAAATGGTTGGTAACTGCACAAGACATGATTCCTGCTAACTGGTACACTGATTGCAAGAGTCTTGAACAACATGTCAATCAAGCTGGAACTCACGTGGTGACAGACAAGAGACTGGCAATTGATTTGTGTGGTTTGAGGCAGCAAGTGTGGCGCCAGGGAGGCGAAGAAGTAGGAGATCCACTTCTTACCGATTTTCTTCCAGAGAATCGCACCACGAAACTGACATGGATACCAACTGAGAAAATGCCTGCCGATTGTCTAACAAAGGCTATGAAGCCTGGAGCGCTATCTTTGATCATGAATGGCCAAGAGAATGATTTCACTTCAATAAAAGAACATGGGTGTGAAACATCAGATGGAAACGAGCATGGAAACGGTATGAAGACTCAATCATTCCTTGTGCCAACATGACCATCCATTCTGACCACGCACTGCCGTGGCTCAAGCTACGCATTTCGATGTCTAGCGGGAAAATAACAGCTGAGCGGTTGTGTTGCAACGTAAGTCTTTGGCTGCCAAGTTTTTCAGAGAAACATTGGAAACTGTGCCTGGAATGCTTCAACAGCCGTGCAACTGGCACTTTGTACAGGAGAACGCAGGGATCGAGCCTCACTGGCTTGGAAAGTAGTTGGGCAAATCAAAGAGCGCGTTGTTTTACCTGAAGTCAGAAACTGGCATGGCAAAGGAAGCTGTTGCGGGAAACTGACGCAATGTTGTCAGAAAGCCAGCTGGCAATGCTTCGAAAGGAGTTGTCGGTTCCTATTAGCTGCAACATCTCTTCTTCACAACGATGGATTGATTTTGCTTTCCTTGGATGTGCATGTTGTGCAGAAGGTCATGTGTGCAGGCACACACAGGGACTGGAGAGCGTGCAGGACGCTTTCAAACAACCGCAAGCAAGCAGGTAGATTGATGCTTAGAAGTTGGTTCCAGCAAGCTTGACTTGGAAACATTGGAAACATTGGAAACTGTGCCTGGAGTGCTTCAACAGCTGTGCAACTGGCACTTTGTACAAGAGAACGCAGGGATCGAGCCTCACGGGCTTGGAAAGTAGTTGGGCAAATCAAAGAGCGCGTTGTTTTACCTGAAGTCAGAAACTGGCATGGCAAAGGAAGCTGTTGCGGGAAACTGACGCAATGTTGTCAGAAAGCCAGCTGGCAATGCTTCGAAAGGAGGCGTTGGTTGCCATTGGCTGCAACATCTCATCACAATAATTGATCGATGTTGCTTTCCTTGGATGTGCATGTTGTGCACAAGGTCACGTGGGCAGGCATACACAGGGACTGGAGAGCGTGCAGGACGCTTTCAAACAACCGCAAGAAAGCAGGTAGATTGATGCTTAGAAATTGGTTCCAGCAAGCTTGACTTGGAAACATTGGACACATTGGAAACTGTGCCTTTCACATCATGGACATTTTTACCACGGACGCAAAATGGTCGTAAACCAAGTAGTTGGGCAAATCAAAGAGCGCGTTGTTTTACCTGAAGTCAGACACTGGCATGGCAAAGGAAGCTGTTGCGGGAAACTGACGCAATGTTGTCAGAAAGCCAGCTGGCAATGCTTCGAAAGGAGGCGTTGGTTGCCATTGGCTGCAACATCTCATCACAATAATTGATCGATGTGTTGCTTTCCTTGGATGTGCATGTTGTGCAGAAGGTCATGTGGGCAGGCATACACAATGACTGGTGCCACTTCGGTCCTGATGTTTGCAGTCTGTTTGAGTCCAAAAACTACAGGCGCGCATGACTTGTTTCTAAAAGGCTAATGCCAAAGAGCATTTGCCCAAACTCATCACAAAAAAGGTGACATGCGTCGCGTGTGATGCAAGTCTATCTCACAGCAACTCCAAGAGATGGCAGCGTCATGTCATTTCTGATCCCCCAAATCTTATTTCTGAACATTTCTGATCCCTCGACTCACCCAACCTGCATAAGCCAGGGATCCGACACCAAACTCCTTCAGGGCCGAGGAGCGACTGCAGTGACTGCAGTTCTCACAACCTCGGAGGCCTGCTGGGACATTTCCCCGCGTGACTTGACTGCAGTTTCTGTGCTCGGCTAAGGAAGTGGAATACTGAGGTGGTTGTAAGATGTTGTCATGGACATGTTTCAAGTACCTTTGGTGACGCAACACAGCATGGATTCCAAGTTAGCGGTTGAGAAAAAAGCTGAGGCCGAAACACTTCAAAAGAATGGACATACCATGGACTTTTGAACAGTTGTGACAATTTAAATGCCATGCCATGATGGCATAATTTATATTTTAATCCACTATATTCACTATATATTCGTTTGTATTTATCCATATTTATCCAATGATTCATGATGGGTAAAAGGCTTAGTTTGCCTTTTTTGCCACTGACATTTGCCATCTTTTTGGTGGACAAAAGATGCTGACTCCGTGACAATTGAGATAGGTTCCTGTCAAGATACAAAGAGTTCTGTCCATGTGCTGCGGATTGCAGTGCTTGCCTTCGATTCTCATCCATGGTTTGCTGAGGCCTGGTCGTTTACGTCAGCATCGCTTCGTGAGAAAATGAGCAGCTCCACGCAGCCGGGATATAGATAAAATTCACATTGAAAGACCATATTTTTCAAAGCAAATCAGGGTTGCAGCGTTGAACATTGAACAGCAGGGGGAAAATGCTCTTGAAAAACTCAGCGGATGTTGTCTCTTGGCTCCTGAACAATAAGAACAAATCAGCGAAGAACCACGAAGTACAAACTTGTTCCTATGGAGCATTAGATATGTAGGTTTCTCGTTGGAACCAACAACTTCATGAGATTTTTCAGCTTTCTAGGAAGTAGTTTCCGTGTTGCACCAAGCACGCCATGGGTGGTGGAACTAGAACTATATGGCATTATATGGCACTATGGAGGACAGGGAGTGGGTACCTGTTTGGGATTCTTTCGTGTTGCCTTGAGTAACAGGCTCGCTGTTTTTGTGTTTTCTTTCCCGGTTTCCACATTTTCCACCAAATGATCATGTAAGTGTTCATGTGTACTTGCTATGAATTGCTATGATTTGTTGAATTTGTTTTGGGCCAGCAGATTCACAACTTGGCCCATCCCAGCGGCCTTGACCCCGCGGCGCGAGGCCCGGAGGCCCGATGTGTGCCGCCGCATCCGTTGATCGCTTGATCGCTTTGGATTAACGGCTGCAAGTCTGGTTGCTGAGAAACTGATCCGCCGGCTGTCCTTAGATTCGGATTCTTGAAACCGAAGGTGAAGTGGCGAAGCGAAGGCCCAAGGACTCACAGAGTCACTGTCTCAAGTTAGTGAGTCCTCGCCTTGAAACTCTCAGTTGACTCAGGGTCTCAAACGTGTCCGGTAGAGCCCTGAGAACCTCGACTGCCGAAGTCAATTGGCAATGCTGCAAGATTCAGGATTTGTCTATTGCAGCCAGGCCCCCCCAACGCACGACCGATCATAGATTGACACAGACAAGCATTGAACACCATGCTTACCATCGATTTTGGGAACGGGCTTTCCGCGAGTCTATCCATGTTTATCCCTGGCAAAAATATTGTTTGACTAAGTTGAGAAGATTTAGACCTTGAAAGGAAACAGAATTCCATGCGCCTAGAAAAGTGTCTTCGTTCAGGTCAAAGCAAGATACATTGCAGAAAATCGTGCCGTGAGTGCTTCAACAGCCGTGTAGCTGGCACTTTGTACAGGAGAACGCAGGGATCGAGCGTCACGGGCTTGGAAAGTAGTTGGGCAAATCAAAGAGCGCGTTGTTTTACCTGAAGTCAGAAACTGGCATGGCAAAGGAAGCTGCTGCGGGAAACTGACGTGATGTTGTCAGAAAGCCAGCTGGCAATGCTTCGAAAGGAGGCGTTGGTTGCCATTGGCTGCAACATCTCTTCTTCACCACGATTGATCGATGTGTTGCTTTCCTTGGATGTGCATGTTGTGCAGAAGGTCATGTGGGCAGGCATACACAGGGACTGGAGAGCGTGCAGGACGCTTTCAAACAAACGCAAGAAGCAGGTAGATTGATGCTTGGAAATTGGTTCCAGCAAGCTTGACTTGGAAACATTGGAAACATTGGAAACATTGGAAGCATTGGAATCTGTAGCTGGAATGCTTCAACAGCCATGTAACTGGCACTTTCTACAGGAGAACGCAGGGATCGAGCCTCACGGGCTTGGAAAGTAGTTGGGCAAATCAAAGAGCGCGTTGTTTTACCTGAAGTCAGAAACTGGCATGGCAAAGGAAGCTGTTGCGGGAAACTGACGCGATGTTGTCAGAAAGCCAGTTGGCAATGCTTCGAAAGGAGGCGTTGGTTGCCATTGGCTGCAACATCTCTTCTTCACCACGATTGATCGATGTGTTGCTTTCCTTGGATGTGCATGTTGTGCAGAAGGTCATGTGGGCAGGCATACACAGTGACTGTAGAGCGTGCAGGACGCTTTCAAACAACCGAAAGCTGTGCCTGGAGTGCTTCAACAGCCGTTCAACTGGCACTTTGTACAGGAGAACGCAGGGATCGAGCCTCACGGGCTTGGAAAGTAGTTGGGCAAATCAAAGAGCGCGTTGTTTTTACCTGAAGTCAGACACTGGCATGGCAAAGGAAGCTGTTGCGGGAAACTGACGCAATGTTGTCAGAAAGCCAGCTGGCAATGCTTCGAAAGGAGGCGTTGGTCGCCATTGGCTGCAACATCTCTTCTTCACCACGATTCATCGATGTTGCTTTCCTTGGATGTGCATGTTGTGCAGAAGGTCATGTGGGCAGGCATACACAACAGTAAGTAGACCAACAGGTAGAGTCCATATCATCGGACATCAATCTCGTTTTCACCGGAAATCTATCCAGTCAACACGTATCTCAGAGCTTGATGGTGTGCAGAGCGGCGTCAAAGAATCTGTAAGACACTAGGTGGATAAAAGATGCAGATGGACGCCTCGATGCAGCCTGCATGTGACCTGACTTGGAAGTGGAGAAAGACAGAGAAATGTTGACAACTCCACTGCTAGTGCATCAGCAGCCCTGCAGTTGGCACTTGGTGTAGCAGAAGCAAAGGGGTCGAGCCTCATATGTTTGGAAAGTACTTGGGTGTATCTCATGAGAGCCCAAGTCAAGCATGCCAGAGAATTTGGCCAAAGTCTGTCTTTACTGAAGGCAAAAGCTGGCATGGCAAGTGGTCATTGTGTCCATGCTTGAGACAGCTTCAGCAGCGGCAACTGTAGAAGGCAAGACAGCGAATTTTGTGCAACCCCCCCCAAAATGTGGAGTAACAGGTGCAATGAATTCGACTATTTCCCCAATAGCGCAACAATACATAACGGGCGATTGTCTATCCCGCCCACATTTTCTCTTGGCTGAAGTGATGAAACCTCGTCCAATACAAACATATCAAAGTGTTGCAATGGATTCCTTGAGCCTGAGAAATGTGCTTGTCGAGTTTGACCCGACTAGTTAATGCACTTTCCACATCTTGAAGCCTGGTAGAAATTGTGCCGGTGGAAGAGTAGTTGATATACCAATATAACATAGTATAACTAATGTACTTAACGATATGAGTCAGTCCTGAGATAAGTCCGAAACCCGAAACCAGTGGCAGCAGTGTCTCACTTGCCATTTTGAGCGCACGTGGTTGATGCTTCCGACTATGATGAGAATGGAGGCAGATTTTTATCCTTCACTCCCCCTGTTTTGCCTCCTGTTTTGCGCACATGATTTTTGGCAAGCATCAGAGAGATATTAGATTGGAAGGTCGCATGACCCCTGATCAGTCCATGGCTGCAGATTTCCTCGGACAGCCACGTCATGCAGAAGGTTTTCTCGGCAGCTATATATTCTCAGGATTTCCATGGTACGCGGGAAGTTTTCAACGGTATTGTTTTTACAGTTGCGTTCATGGGAACTGACTTGGAAGCGAAAAACAGAGACAAATGATAGCCATTCCTTCCAGTTGAAGAGATGAGTCATTAGTCAGTCCTGAGATTGGTCCGAAAAAAGTGGCAGCAGTGTCTCTCTTGCAATGTTGAGCGCACGTGGTTGATGCTTCCGACTACGATGAGAATGGAGGCAGATTTTTATCCTTCACTCCGACTGTTTTGCCCCCTGTTTTGCGCACATGATTTTTGGAATCATTGGAAACATTGGAAACATTGGAATCTGTGCCTGGAGTGCTTCAGCAGCCGTGCTACTGGCACTTTGTACAGGAGAACGCAGGGATCGAGCGTCACGGGCTTGGAAAGTAGTTGGGCAAATCAAAGAGCGCGTTGTTTTACCTGAAGTCAGACACTGGCATGGCAAAGGAAGCTGTTACGGGAAACTGACGCAATGTTGTCAGAAAGCCAGCTGGCAATGCTTCGAAAGGAGGCGTTGGTTGCCATTGGCTGCAACATAGATTGATGCTTAGAAATTGGTTCCAGCAAGCTTGACTTGGAAACATTGGAAACATTGGAAACATTGGAAACTGTGCCTGGAATGCTTCAACAGCCATGTAACTGGCACTTTCTACAGGAGAACGCAGGGATCGAGCCTCACGGGCTTGGAAAGTAGTTGGGCAAATCAAAGAGCGCGTTGTTTTACCTGAAGTCAGACACTGGCATGGCAAAGGAAGCTGTTGCGGGAAACTGACGCAATGTTGTCAGAAAGCCAGCTGGCAATGCTTCGAAAGGAGGCGTTGGTTGCCATTGGCTGCAACATCTCTTCACCACGATTGATCGATGTTGCTTTCCTTGGATGTGCATGTTGTGCAAAGGTCATGTGGGCAGGCATACACAGTGACTGGAGAGCGTGCAGGACGCTTTCAAACAACCGAAAACTGTGCCTGGAGTGCTT